TCGCTGGTTCAGAGGTTCTTTATCTGCATGAGTTGAAAAATGCAGTAATTATTTGTTGCATTCAATGTAGTGTGTTTTTAATCAGCCCTCTCCTCGCTCCGCTCAGACCTCCCGCGGACTGAAGCGAGCTCACATTGTACAATCTCATTTACAGTCATAAAGAATAAAAAGAAAATAGTAATAATTAATATCACATCAGATGTATCAACAATATACAATATATATATATCTATATATATATATATATATATATATATATATATATATATACATCTCTGAACATACATTGACACTCATCAAACTCATAAAATATACATCTTTAAATCACCCATATTCCAGCATTTTATATAACCAATACGGTTGAACACAAAGAAATCACAAAAACAATTTATAACCATACCTGCATGAGTTGAAAAATGCAGTAATTATTTGTTGCATTCAATGTAGTGTGTTTTTAATCAGCCCTCTCCTGTCAAACATTTGAACATAGAAAAGATATCAGCAGACACGCTTCACAGGCCTACTTTCACACTAACATACTAACAGCGTGATACTGCATTCACTCGGTTAAACTTTCACTTATGCAGGAAAAACAGCTTAACAAGGAAAAATCACATACTTGTACATACTCCTTAACATTTTAACGAAATCAAATCACATTTTATTAGGGATTATTTTCACTTATAACACTCTTTTGAACAGGAGTGCACACATTACATACCTCGCTCCGCTCAGACCTCCCGCGGACTGAAGCGAGAGCGCGCGCAACGCGACAATGACGTCACAACTGCGACGAACGCAAACCTCATAGATATATATATATAAATTAATTCTTTTCTTTTCTTACATATATATCTAACAGAAAAATTTGGATTTTGTGTGAATTTAAAATTAAAACAAGTTATAATTAATACCCGTTACATATACATGATGACATTGATTTATGTTCGCAGGGATGTGCAGTGGTGTGGTGGACTCTCAAGAGTTCTCACAAGATGATTCCTCATTGTATACTTTAGAGGAGATTAATGCTTTTCCGGATGATACTTTTGGGAAGAAAGTTAATGTGAATGTGTTAATTGAGAAGTTTGAGAAGTCTGTTTTTAGTACATCAAAAGAATGTGAGTTTTGATATCTTAAGTGAAAAGAAAAGGTTTCGTTTGAAGAAACATGTAAAGGCAATTAGAAAGTATAGTGATTGTAAAAGGTTTTGTTTTAGCTAACCATTTCATGCATCACATGGTGTCTCTTTTTGTAATGCTGCTTTTATCTGTTTTTCCCCTTTTCCTATTAAACCTACATATGGATGCTTTAAGAGTAGGTTCTCTTAATATAAATGGGGGAGGGATATGCACAAACGTGCATTAGTATCTGAAATAATAGAGCAGGAAAAAAATGTTAATGTTATTTATCTTCAAGAAACTCACAGTGATGTAGGAAATGAAGTTGAGTGGGGACTGTGGTGGAAAGGGGTATAAATTAAGCCATAAAACAAATTTGAGTGCAGGAGTGGCAATTTTCTTTTCTCCTGATTTAAGAGTTACTGTTTTGAGCACAGAAGAACCAATGAATGGCCGTCGTGTTGTTGTTAAAGCTGAAATTGATGGGGAAATGTATTATTTCATTAATGCGTATGCACCAAATGTAGGGTTTGAAATATGAATGTTTTTTTGTTGTGTTTAACAATGTTTAAAAAAAAAAAAAAATTCTGTTGATTTGAAATACTGAAGAACGCCATTTTCAGTCTTCATCTCGTTTATCAAGGTTAATAAGGGCAGCTGATCAGTTTTGGATGTATGGAGGGTTAAACACCCTGACGTGAGGCAATATACATGGGTCAAGGTGAATAATAATAGAGTTACTGTTGCTCTTTTGGACCGAATTTATGTACCCAACCGTTGAGCAGTCAAATTATTGATTGTTCTATCACACCAATGGGTTTTACAGACCATAACTTGGTTTCGATTGTAATAAGTAAATCTCAGAGCTCAAATAAGTCCTCTTTTGGGCATTTTAATATTAGACTGCCTCAAGATAAAGAATTTTGTAGGTATTTTGAAATATTTTGGCAACATTGGAAAATGAAGAAAAAAAGTAGTTTTATGAAATCTAAGAGAGGGGTGGGACATAGGAAAAGTGAATATAAAAATGTTCTGTCTGCAATATACTCACTGCCAATTCTACTAATGTGTTAAGAGAAACGATTGAGTCTGTCTATATGAGAGTCAGGCAGATTTTTATTTTTAAAGGCCAGTTATTTCATGGATCCAGGACACTACGCATCCTGATAAGGTTCCCTTGGCAATTGGAATTATAATATCTGCACATCATCACACACCCTTCACCATACGTTTGCGTTTGGAGAGGAGTACAGAGACTTTCTGGATAACACAACGGTGATTCATGAGTGGACAGAAGGGCATGATTATGTATTTCCTTTACTCATATTCAATGGTGCTGTGGAGAATTGGAAAGAGGATGATCACTGTTTGTTGACGTTTAAAACCCCGGTTTTGGTTTGTTTCGACTTGTTTAAAAGTGTCAAATGCCAGTTTATTGACTGGTGTTTTTTTTTTCTACAAAATTGATGTATTATCTTGGACTTGACTCTTCCCCTAAAGGCTGCTGGGGTACTTTGTACAAATGTCCAATTAATAAGCGGACGGGTGATCTCCAGTGGGGAATTGCACATGGAGCCGTAGCTACGAACAGACATGTGGCGCATATTAATCCTGGCGTTGGGGTTGTCCTTTATATTTAGAGGTAGAATCGGTGCTCCATTTATTTGTGGAGTGCTCTCGTTTAGGGGATCTTTTTTCCCCCTTTTAAGCAATGGTTTTTTATCTTTTTCCTTCAAATTGTTTCTTTATGGTCCTAGGTATTCTGTAGCCTGGCTCCTCCCCCTACGTACTTCCGCTAAATTTTCATTTTCCTTCAGTACTACGTCTGGGTTTGCTGTGTATTCTTTGGTTTTCTCCGGTACCTTTTTTACTGGTCCAATCAGCGAACAGAGGGAGTGGCTGAGAACGATGACGTTGATGTCGTGCGCTAGTTTGAGTCGTCATCAAGGGTGTAATCCACCAGCCGGAAACTGAAGCTTCGCCTGGGAGCCGCGATTGTAGCAGAGCATCACCTGCTGTTAGCATTCTATTGACTCCCATTCATTTTGGCATCGCTTTGACAGCGAATAACTTTACATCTGAGGCGTCCAAAGACTCCATTTGTCCATTGTTTATTTCTAAAGAAACACGACAATGTATAAAAGGCTCCATTACTTTGTATCTTACGTTATGGCCCCGTTGAAGCCGTTTTTGTAAAAATAGGCTAACGAGTGCGTCGCGTCTCTTTGTTGCACAGTAGAGAAATTACCGAATAGACAGGAGCTCGTGGGCAATCTTTTACTGTCTATGAGGCAATCGGGTGGACATGAATGCATAAAGTCAAGGGAGAAGCCCATAGATAGAGAGTCCATACAAGCAACGGGACAAAATATTTCAACAACAGATTTGTTTCAGATTTGTCTCGGCACAGCTCTAGAAGCTCAGAACGGTTGCTGACGTCACATCTCCGTCGTCGCGCTCAGTGTGAGACTGCGCAGTGCGCTTGGCTATCAGGAAGAGATGCTTCTAATGGGCTTACATTTTCTCCATTGAAATCTATGGGGTCGCTGTGTCCATTTTTTTTACCGTCTATGGTCATCATACGTCACGACCAAACGTCAGCGATTGGTTATGGCAGATCCAGAGTGACTCTGGGCAGATCCAATAGACCCCTTTTGCGCCGACGTCACAGCGCTAGCTGGAGGCAAAACAAGGTGAAAACTGGAGGCGGCCAATACAAACCAGCACAGATTCGGCTACATAATAAGGACCTTAAATTATTGTTACTATTATTAAATGTCATCTTGTTGTGTTGTTTGGTGCAAGAATTGATGAAAAATGAATATGCTGTATCTGGAATTTTTATTTCTAGAAAATATTCACATCATTAACATTGCACCGTAATGTCACTCTTTACATTGTCGTCCTCTTGGCGCTGGCTAGGCAGAACTGCGGATCGTACACACAAGTCTTGTACATGATCATTCAGCACATAGTTATAGGCATCTAAAGATTTATATATGTTTTTCTTTACGATCAGTTTCTCTATAAGGTAGGTGTAGAAGTCAGGCCACTCAACCGAGGTAACGTAACGTTAATCCTGTCAGATCGTCCATCATTGAGTGAGTGTGTACGGGTCGGCCAATCTGGTTTCGTCCGTTAAAATTAACTTTTGCAAATTACAATCGCGGTCCTGGACAGTGAGTGACCTAACACATTAAGACAAAATCGGATTTTCTCTAGTCATTGTTAAAAAACAAGCTAACAATACGTGCTGACTAGCGTTAGGGAAGCGGCCAGAGAGATCGTTCTGCCTCCACCTAAGCTCCGCCCACAAAAAAGTCACCATGTTTACTAACTGAAAAGGGGTCTATAGTTTTAAACTTCAATAGAGTTCCCGCCTTCAAGGAAGTTAACGCTTGTGAATGGAGCGAGGCCAGGCTCTCGTCTGGTGGGACCAGGCTAGGTATTCCGTTCAAAGGAAAAGGACTTTGGTTTTAACTAATTTTTTATCAGGCACTGCAAAATTAGTAATCTGGAAAACAAGAAAAAATAAACTTCTAGGGCTGGATGCAATAAGTGTGGTTCCTTTGTTTTTGGGGCTTGTGGCAGCTAGACTTAAAGTAGAGTTTGCGTACTACAAGTCGGTGGACTGTTTACCAAAGTTTGTAGAAATCTGGTTTGTTAATGAGGTATTGTGGACATTATGTGAGAGAAATTAATTGGTGTTGACTTTTTAAATATACATGTGTATAAAAAAAAAGATGGTTGGATGATGTGTGAATAATTCAAGACTAAATTGTTATAATAAATCTCTGAGAAAGAGACTATTGTGTTTCAGAACGTCTCTCTTTCTCTCCCCTCTCTCTCTCTCTCTCTCTCGCTCTCTCGCCCTCTCAGAGTCTCTGATGATCAACCCTCCTCTAATGCAGTGAATAGGGCACCAGTATCTCTCCAGAACGCCAGACGTTATTTTTCCAGTGAGGAAAACGTTCATCTTGACCACCATGCAGAGCTCTGCTCGTCCCAGCCTTCAGATCGAGCCGCATTAGAGGAAAACCAGATCAAGAAAGAACTCAAATGCAAACTTGATGAATTAAAATGCAGAGAAACAGTAGACAGACGTGAGTCAGAGGAGACTAACACCAGAGGAAAAACACAGGAAGTGACATCACAGGATGACAGCAAAGGTAGGACCGCCCCCTCTCATCAACATGAAATAAAAAAACAATAATTAAAAAACTGTTTAGTCGTTGTTTAAGGTGATGCAAGATTTCTAATATGTTGTTCACATAGTAATTTAATGGATTGAAGGTTATGGCAACAATCACAAATAAAGAAACATTTAGTTCTACTCTGATAAACATCCTATAATATTATAGCTATTTAATGTAACACTTTATTTTACAGTGTCTTTGTTACATTTGTTACATGTACTTACCATAGTAATAAGAGTAAATTATGCACAATTACATGCAACTAACCCTCAACCAAACCCTAACCCTATAGTAAGTACATGTAGTTAATTATTATTACTCAGTGCTTAAATATATGATTACACTGTAACAGTGACACCTTAAAATAAAGTGTAACCACTATTTAATAAGCTGTGAATGCTGTTTTATGTTGCCTTTATTATTTCTGTTCAGATGTTATAGTCTGATTAGTGTCAAGGAGTGATTTTGACAGATTGAAAGCGAGTATAAAAGACTGAGTGTTTTCCAGCGCTGCCAGACACACACACACACACACACCGAGCTCTTGCTGCTTGTTAGAGGGAAAGAGTTGCCAGGAAACTGAAGTGAAAGAGGGGAATTTTCATCCCTTCTGTCAGACACTATTCTCTCCATTCTGCTGTCCCAAACACACGCAGTGATGCTTTCGTCTTTTATGTTCTTTGTGGCCTTCTCATGACACACACAAGTGCAAACACACACAGACACACACACGCACACACACACACAGCTCAATACAGGTGTAAAACACAAAAGTAAGAAAAAATATGAAACTAGAAAAAGACAGTTAATACAACATGTGATTGGATGAATGGCTGAATAGTGATAGATAGATGGATGGATGGATGGATGAATAGTGATAGATGGATGGATGGATAGATGGATAGATAGATAGAATAGTGATACATACACTCACCTAAAGGATTATTAGGAACACCATACTAATACTGTGTTTGACCCCCTTTCGCCTTCAGAACTGCCTTAATTCTACGTGGCATTGATTCAACAAGGTGCTGAAAGCATTCTTTAGAAATGTTGGCCCATATTGATAGGATAGCATCTTGCAGTTGATGGAGATTTGTGGGATGCACATCCAGGGCATGAAGCTCCCGTTCCACCACATCCCAAAGATGCTCTATTGGGTTGAGATCTGGTGACTGTGGGGGCCATTTTAGTACAGTGAACTCATTGTCATGTTCAAGAAACCAATTGGAAATGATTGGAGCTTTGTGACATGGTGCATTATCCTGCTGGAAGTAGCCATCAGAGGATGGGGACATGGTGGCCATAAAGGGATGGACATGGTCAGAAACAATGCTCAGGTAGGCCGTGGCATTTAAACGATGCCCAATTGGCAATAAGGGGCCTAAAGTGTGCCAAGAAAACATCCCCCACACCATTACACCACCACCACCAGCCTGCACAGTGGTAACAAGGCATGATGGATCCATGTTCTCATTCTGTTTACGCCAAATTCTGACTCTAACATCTGAATGTCTCAACAGAAATCGAGACTCATCAGACCAGGCAATATTTTTCCAGTCTTCAACTGTCCAATTTTGGTGAGCTCTTGCAAATTGTAGCCTCTTTTTCCTATTTGTAGTGGAGATGAGTGGTACCCGGTGGGGTCTTCTGCTGTTGTAGCCCATCCGCCTCAAGGTTGTGCGTGTTGTGGCTTCACAAATGCTTTGCTGCATACCTCGGTTGTAACGAGTGGTTATTTCAGTCAAAGTTGCTCTTCTATCAGCTTGAATCAGTCGGCCCATTCTCCTCTGACCTCTGGCATCAACAAGGCATTTCCGCCCACAGGACTGCCGCATACTGGATGTTTTTCCCTTTTCACACCATTCTTTGTAAACCCTAGAAATGGTTGTGCGTGAAAATCCCAGTAACTGAGCAGATTGTGAAATACTCAGACCGGCCCGTCTGGCACCAACAACCATGCCACGCTCAAAATTGCTTAAATCACCTTTCTTTCCCATTCTGACATTCAGTTTGGAGTTCAGGAGATTGTCTTGATCAGGACCACACCCCTAAATGCATTGAAGCAACTGCCATGTGATTGGTTGATTAGATAATTGCATTAATGAGAAATTCAACAGGTGTTCCTAATGATCCTTTAGGTGAGTGTAGATCGATAGATGGATGGATGGATGGATGGATGGATGGATGGATGGATGGATGGATGGATGGATGGATGGATGGATGGATGGATGGATGGATGGATGGATGGATGGATGGATGGATGGATGGATGGATAGAATAGTGATGGATAGGTGGATGGATGGATGGATGGATGGATAGATAGATAGAATAGTGAATAGATAATAAAATAGTGTTATTTTGGTGTGAAATATGATGTTGACTTCAGCTTTTGTGAGATGAACTTCTCTCTCTCTCTCTCTCTCATATAGAGGTGAGTGAGTGTGTGTTGTCTGTGCTGATGGAGGCAGCAGGCACTGGTGAGTGTGTGTGTGTATCTGAAGCGCTGGAAGAGAGTGTGATCACTCCTGACGACTCTGAGATGGACGAGTGTGCGTGTCAGATCTCCTCCTCCTCCTCCTCCTCCTCCTCCTCCTCCGGCTGGGCTCTGGCTGTGTTCGGGCACGCCTGCTTCGGGCCGGACGTGCTGAAGTACGCTCAGAAACTCAGCCGTCACACTCGATCTCCCACCATACAGGACCGATCACAGGTGAGATTCACACACGCTTCTGGGTCATATTTACTGTAAAGAAAATAAGAAAAGTTGTTTATTTCGTTAATTGAGGCATGTTCTTTGAACCGTAAAGTTTTTTGTATTTTGAAATCATTTTCATGACAATTAAACACATTTTTTGTTTGTAATTATTGTTATTCTCAGAGGTGGTGATTATATTTTATTATACCCACATTATATTTTATATATTACAATTAAAACGTACTTAGTATATCAGTGTAATTTTAGCAGCATTGATATACTATTAAAGTTTTAAGTAATATTTAACATTTTCACTTTAATAAAATTTTTTTGGTTTTTGTATTTTTTTTACAATTTTTTTTTTTAAATTAGTTTTAGTTATTTTATTGCTTCACATATTATTAAACGAAAATAAGAAATGCTGCCTTGGCAACTAGCAGAAATATAGCTTCATTTATTAGTTTTGTCCTCGTTTTAGTTTTAGCTTTATATTTAACGATCATATATATATTTTTCTTCTTTTTTTTGCGTCATATTAATAAGATTTTTCATGAAAATAATGTCACAGTGCAAAACATTTAAATTAAATTTTTTTTTTTTTTTTGCAATATTATTTCCTATTAAATTTGAGATTTTATTGTGATTTTTTTTTCTCCCCGTTTTGCGTGTCTTTGGCTTGTTCTCTGGTCTGTCATTTGTCCTAACGCTGATTTCCGGTGTTCATTTAATGCTAACTGTACTGAAAGGACCCACATTTAGATGCAGAGTTTCCCCAGGTACAGTATCCTGAACAATCTTCATTTTCATTGGAAGAAATGAACAGCTTCCATCATTTATATCTTGAATGAACAACATGCATTAAACATTCAGAACGAGGCAGACAGATATGGACGATGTGCATTTTAATTTGATTCAAAGAGAGTGTGCATTATGGTTTATAGCAGAATAGAAATGGTCAGTGTGTGTGTGTGTGTGTGTGTGTTTGCTTTGATGGTGTTGGAGGTCAGACTCCCCTTACTCGACTTCAAAGAGAAGACATCGATCTCTGTTACCATAGTGAGAAATACAGAGAGTTCATATTGCTGTAGAGACACTGAAGAGATGTACACTACCGCTCAAAAGTTTCGCAGTCAGCAAGATTAATACTTTTAGTGAGCAATGATGCATTAAATTGATTAAATGTGACAGTTAAGACATTAATAATGTTACAAAAGATTCTATTTCAAATAAATGCTGTTCTTTTGATCTTTTTATTCATCAAAGAATCCTGAAAAATAAAATGTATCAGAGTTTCCACCAAAAAATTGAACTGTTTTCAACATTAATAATAATCATAAATGTTTCTTGAGCATCAGATCCTCATATTAGAGTGATTTCTGAAGGATCATGTGACACTGAAGACTGGAGTAATGATGCTGAAAATTCAGCTTTGATCACAGGAATAAATTACACTTTACTACTCAAACGTTTGAATGGTAGTTTACTCTAATCATCTTCATTGTCGAGTCACACAGAGTCATGCGCTGCGTCTGAAGTCGCACACTATATAGTAGGCACTACATTTGGTTTGAAACACGGCCGTTAAAAGTATGTTCTTTATTGTATGAATGTGTGTAGTGATGAAATGTGAACAGCTACACAGTGATAAAAATGATCAAAGACGCAAACTACAGCAGCTCTACAGTCAGTTCAGTTCAATAACTGTAAAGTTTATTAATTATGAAACGAGTTCCATTCAGCTATAAGCTCAATAGTGTCGTTATTCACTTTGAGTCAGTTCAATGTTAATTCCATTAAAAACCCTCTGATGGTCTTCAAAAAAAAGTCACACTCATGGTCTTCGGGGTCTATTGGACCCCAGACAACAACATTTAATTTTGTAACCGAACAATATTTTTTTTTTTTTACAAATATAATTTTACTCTGTTTATTAATGTTTTTACTCAACATTTGTGCAGTTTTTGGAGAATTTATGATTTTTTTTAAATTATTATAAATAAATAAATAAATATTTAATTAAATAGGATTTTTACAAAAAAACAGCATTTTATGTTAAATAAATTTTATAAAAGACCCAGATGTCTAACTTTCATTCCTGGGGATACCATGGATAATTTTACAAGGTTTAATGTAAGATTTTTGCCCATTTTTTGGAAAATACAGGTTAAAATTTGTAATAAATCACTTTAACCACTAGATGGCTATAGAGCTCCATTATATGCTATTTGCTATTTGAATTACTGAAAGATTTAGTTTCTAAAGTTGGATTCAGTTGGATTCATATCTAAATATTATAAAATCACAATTATAACAAAAATAAAATATTTTTTGTCAAAATTTAGCATTTTTTGTACTGAAAAAACACTATGCATGGTAAACTGCATGACTTCTGCAGACAGGGTTGGAGCAGGTTTGGCACTTCACTGTTGTTGTTGTTGTTGTGTGTGTGTGTGTACATTTTATTTTTATTTTTATGTGTACAGTGTCACCAATTTATTTTTGTGGTGGTTCTTCATTTTGTATGATTTTATTTGACAAATTATAAGACTTTTTATAGCCTTACAAATGTATTCCTGTGTGTGTGTGTTTGTGTGTCTGTGTGTGTGTGTGTTTGTGTGTGTATGTGTGTGTGTGCACATTTTCAATGCGTCTAAGTGTTACCAATTTATTTTTCTGGTGGTTCTGCATTTTAGATTATTTTATTTTACAAATGATAAGAGAACAGTTTTTATAGTCTGTATGTATTCCTGTATAAATGTATTCCTGTTTATGTGTGTGTTTGTGTGTGTGTGTGCGCCTGTGGTGAGCATGATAATTTTGGATTGTGGATGTTTTTTGCATTGTTGGAAGTGTGCCACTTTATTTCTGTCATTTCTGTCTATGTGTTCTACATTGTTTCTGATTTTGATGATGTTATTTTGTCTATTTTGATAGCGGGGTCCAATAGACCCCGAAGACCACGAGTGTGACTATTTTTGTCACGCCAACATAAAAACAGATATCATGAATTTTTTTTTTTTTTTTTTTGTAGATCTAGAAAGTGTTGAGAGCCGTAGAAAGTTTCAAACCATTTGGACAAAGAGAACCTTTTTTTTAATTTGAGCAAAAGTCATTTGGGGTCCAATAGACCCCGAAGACCATCAGAGGGTTTTAAAAGTCACAATTACTAAAAGTTTTGCAAAAATAAAAAAAATATTTGTGAGACAGAATTGTAAGATTAAAAAAAGTTGTAATTAGCCTACCATTTTAATTTGTTTACTCCGTGGTGAAAAAAAGTCAAAATTGTTAAATAAAAAATTTGCAATTAGCCTACTTTTTCATTTTTTTTTATTTATTCCGTGGCCAAAAAACCCCCCAGAATTGACAAATGTAAAGTTATAATTACAAGGAAAAAAAGTCAAAATGTATTTGCTAGATATAAACTCATTCGAAATTGTATACTGTAGATACTAAATTTGGTTTGGAATTTACTTTGTGACGGTTAGAAAAGTATGTTCCATAGAGTATGAATGTGTGTAGAATTAATGCAATAGATCCTCCGTGTCATGTGACCTACGGCGTCAGTTTCACGCCGCTTCACTGTCATTCATAAATCCTCTCGGGATATTAAACTGTCCATCAGACGCACACTTCAGAATCTCACATCAATCTCACATTCTTTTCGTCTACTGTTTGGTGAATACTGTGAATTCAGACACACTCGGCTCACATACTATTTTTCGCCCACTATATAGTATATCCGGACGCAGCAATACAGTTTATCTTAGACTGTGAGACTCACCAATTCTGGAAAAGTCTGCTAAAACCAGCTTATGATAGACAGTGGTTTTACAGGGTTTCTTCAAGCCGTCATTAATGGCCATTATGTGCTCCAGATGGTTAATCAGGGGAACTGCTCGCTGGGTCGAACTGGTGAGAGTGGGAAGGCCTGCATGTTACAAACCCAGATTGTCATGAAACTTTTTTTTTTTTTTTTTTATCAGGAAAGTTGGTGAAATAAGAAAGCTATTATCTGTGAATGCAATGCATGGTTAGTTGCTGTTTCCAGGTTTAGTTCTGGTTTAGTGTGGGCATCGAGATCCATTTATTGATCTTTTTCATCTTTGCTCTGAAACAGGAGCTTCACCAACAGCTGATCATCGAGAGCAGGAATCTGAAAAAGACCAGAACGTTCTTCCACAAGCTGATACAGCAGGAGAGAAAACACAGCGGTACTTCAACACCTGATGTCTGTCCATTAATCATGCAATACATGTTTCTGTGTGTGTGTGTGTGTGTGTGTGTGTGTGTGTGTGTGTGTGTGTGTGTGTGTGTGTGTGTGTGTGTGTGTGTGTGTGTGTGTGTGTGTGTGTGTGTGTGAGTGTGAGTGAGTGTGAGTGAGTGTGAGTGAGTGTGAGTGAGTGTGAGTGAGTGTGAGTGAGTGAGTGAGTCTGAGTGAGTGAGTGAGTGAGTGAGTGAGTGAGTGCGCGAGTGAGTGAGTGAGTGAGTGAGTGCGCGAGTGAGTGAGTGAGTGAGTGAGTGCGCGAGTGAGTGAGTGAGTGCGCGAGTGAGTGAGTGAGTGAGTGAGTGCGCGAGTGAGAGAGAGAGTGAGTGTGCGCGAGTGAGTGAGTGAGTGAGTCAATCTGAAAAAGACCAGAACGTTCTTCCACAAGCTGATACAGCAGGAGAGAAAACACAGCGGTACTTCAACACCTGATGCCTGTCCATTAATCATGCAATACATGTTGTGTGTGTGTGTGTGTGTGTGTGTGTGTGTGTGTGTGTGTGTGTGTGTGAGTGAGTGCGCGAGTGAGTGCGCGAGTGAGTGCGCGAGTGAGTGCGCGAGTGAGTGCGCGAGTGAGTGCGCGAGTGAGTGCGCGAGTGAGTGCGCGAGTGAGTGCGCGAGTGAGTGAGTGCGTGCGCGAGTGAGTGAGTGCGTGCGCGAGTGAGTGAGTGCGTGCGCGAGTGAGTGAGTGCGTGCGCGAGTGAGTGAGTGCGTGCGCGAGTGAGTGAGTGCGTGCGCGAGTGAGTGAGTGAGTGCGTGCGCGAGTGAGTGAGTGAGTGCGTGCGCGAGTGAGTGAGTGCGTGCGCGAGTGAGTGAGTGCGTGCGCGAGTGAGTGAGTGAGTGAGTGAGTGAGTGAGTGAGTGAGTGAGTGAGTGAGTGAGTGAGTGAGTGAGTGAGTGAGTGAGTGAGTCAGTGAGTGAGTCAGTGAGTGAGTCAGTGAGTGTGCGCAAGTGAGTGAGTCAGTGAGTGGGTGTGCGCGAGAGTGAGTGAGTGAGTGTGTGTGAGTGTGTGAGTGTGTGAGTGTGTGAGTCAGTGAGTCAGTGAGTCAGTGAGTGAGTGAGTGAGTCAGTCAGTGAGTCAGTGAGTGAGTGAGTGAGTGAGTGAGTGAGTGAGTGAGTGAGTGAGTGAGTGTGCGCAAGTGAGTGAGTCAGTGAGTGGGTGTGCGCGAGTGTGAGTGTGCGCGAGTGAGTGAGTGAGTGAGTGAGTGAGTGAGTGAGTGTGCGCGAGTGAGTGAGTGAGTGAGTCAGTGAGTGGGTGTGCGCGAGCGTGAGTGAGTGTGCGCGAGCGAGCATGAGTGAGTGAGTGTGCGCGAGTGAGTGAGTGAGTCAGTGCGTGTGCGCGAGTGAGTGAGTGTGTGCGCGAGTGAGTGAGTGTGTGCGCGAGTGAGTGAGTGTGTGCGCGAGTGAGTGAGTGTGCGCGAGTGAGTGAGTCAGTGAGTGTGTGCGCGAGTGAGTGAGTGAGTGCGTGTGCGCGTGAGTGAGTCAGTGAGTCAGTGAGTGTGTGCGCGAGTGAGTGAGTGAGTCAGTGAGTGTGTGCGCGATTGATTCAGTGAGTCAGTGAGTCATTGAGTCAGTGAGTCAGTGAGTGTGTGCGCGAGTGAGTGTGTGAGTGTGTGAGTGTGTGAGTGTGTGAGTGTGTGAGTGAGTGAGTGAGTGAGTCAGTGAGTCAGTCAGTGAGTGAGTGAGTGAGTGTGCGCAAGTCAGTGAGTCAGTGAGTGGGTGTGCGCGAGTGAGTGAGTGAGTCAGTGAGTCAGTGAGTGGGTGTGCGCGAGCGTGAGTGAGTGAGTGAGTGAGTGAGTGAGTCTGAGTGAGTGAGTGAGTGAGTGAGTGAGTGAGTGAGTGAGTGAGTGAGTGCGCGAGTGAGTGAGTGAGTGAGTGAGTGAGTGAGTGAGTGAGTGCGCGAGTGAGTGAGTGAGTGCGCGAGTGAGTGAGTGAGTGAGTGAGTGCGCGAGTGAGAGAGAGAGTGAGTGTGCGCGAGTGAGTGAGTGAGTGAGTCAATCTGAAAAAGACCAGAACGTTCTTCCACAAGCTGATACAGCAGGAGAGAAAACACAGCGGTACTTCAACACCTGATGCCTGTCCATTAATCATGCAATACATGTTGTGTGTGTGTGTGTGTGTGTGTGTGTGTGTGTGTGTGTGTGTGTGTGTGTGTGTGTGTGAGTGAGTGCGCGAGTGAGTGCGCGAGTGAGTGCGCGAGTGAGTGCGCGAGTGAGTGCGCGAGTGAGTGCGCGAGTGAGTGCGCGAGTGAGTGCGCGAGTGAGTGCGCGAGTGAGTGAGTGCGTGCGCGAGTGAGTGAGTGCGTGCGCGAGTGAGTGAGTGCGTGCGCGAGTGAGTGAGTGCGTGCGCGAGTGAGTGAGTGAGTGCGTGCGCGAGTGAGTGAGTGAGTGCGTGCGCGAGTGAGTGAGTGAGTGCGTGCGCGAGTGAGTGAGTGCGTGCGCGAGTGAGTGAGTGCGTGCGCGAGTGAGTGAGTGAGTGAGTGAGTGAGTGAGTGAGTGAGTGAGTGAGTGAGTGAGTGAGTGAGTGAGTGAGTGAGTGAGTGAGTGAGTGAGTGAGTGAGTGAGTGAGTGAGTGAGTGAGTCAGTGAGTGAGTCAGTGAGTGTGCGCAAGTGAGTGAGTCAGTGAGTGGGTGTGCGCGAGAGTGAGTGAGTGAGTGTGTGTGAGTGTGTGAGTGTGTGAGTCAGTGAGTCAGTGAGTCAGTGAGTGAGTGAGTGAGTCAGTCAGTGAGTCAGTGAGTGAGTGAGTGAGTGAGTGAGTGAGTGAGTGAGTGAGTGAGTGTGCGCAAGTGAGTGAGTCAGTGAGTGGGTGTGCGCGAGTGTGAGTGTGCGCGAGTGAGTGAGTGAGTGAGTGAGTGAGTGAGTGAGTGTGCGCGAGTGAGTGAGTGAGTGAGTCAGTGAGTGGGTGTGCGCGAGCGTGAGTGAGTGTGCGCGAGCGAGCATGAGTGAGTGAGTGTGCGCGAGTGAGTGAGTGAGTCAGTGCGTGTGCGCGAGTGAGTGAGTGTGTGCGCGAGTGAGTGAGTGTGTGCGCGAGTGAGTGAGTGTGTGCGCGAGTGAGTGAGTGTGCGCGAGTGAGTGAGTCAGTGAGTGTGTGCGCGAGTGAGTGAGTGAGTGCGTGTGCGCGTGAGTGAGTCAGTGAGTCAGTGAGTGTGTGCGCGAGTGAGTGAGTGAGTCAGTGAGTGTGTGCGCGATTGATTCAGTGAGTCAGTGAGTCATTGAGTCAGTGAGTGTGTGCGCGAGTGAGTGTGTGAGTGTGTGAGTGTGTGAGTGTGTGAGTGTGTGAGTGAGTGAGTGAGTGAGTCAGTGAGTCAGTCAGTGAGTGAGTGAGTGAGTGTGCGCAAGTCAGTGAGTCAGTGAGTGGGTGTGCGCGAGTGAGTGAGTGAGTCAGTGAGTCAGTGAGTGGGTGTGCGCGAGCGTGAGTGAGTGAGTGAGTGAGTCTGAGTGAGTGAGTGAGTGAGTGAGTGAGTGAGTGAGTGAGTGAGTGAGTGAGTGAGTGCGCGAGTGAGTGAGTGAGTGAGTGAGTGAGTGAGTGCGCGAGTGAGTGAGTGAGTGCGCGAGTGAGTGAGTGAGTGAGTGAGTGCGCGAGTGAGAGAGAGAGTGAGTGTGCGCGAGTGAGTGAGTGAGTGAGTCAATCTGAAAAAGACCAGAACGTTCTTCCACAAGCTGATACAGCAGGAGAGAAAACACAGCGGTACTTCAACACCTGATGCCTGTCCATTAATCATGCAATACATGTTTGTGTGTGTGTGTGTGTGTGTGTGTGTGTGTGTGTGTGTGTGTGTGTGTGTGTGAGTGAGTGCGCGAGTGAGTGCGCGAGTGAGTGCGCGAGTGAGTGCGCGAGTGAGTGCGCGAGTGAGTGCGCGAGTGAGTGCGCGAGTGAGTGCGCGAGTGAGTGCGCGAGTGAGTGCGCGAGTGAGTGCGCGAGTGAGTGCGCGAGTGAGTGCGCGAGTGAGTGCGCGAGTGAGTGAGTGCGTGCGCGAGTGAGTGAGTGCGTGCGCGAGTGAGTGAGTGCGTGCGCGAGTGAGTGAGTGAGTGCGTGCGCGAGTGAGTGAGTGAGTGCGTGCGCGAGTGAGTGAGTGCGTGCGTGCGCGAGTGAGTGAGTGCGTGCGCGAGTGAGTGAGTGAGTGAGTGAGTGAGTGAGTGAGTGAGTGAGTGAGTGAGTGAGTGAGTGAGTGAGTGAGTGAGTGAGTGAGTGAGTCAGTGAGTCAGTGAGTCAGTGAGTCAGTGAGTGAGTCAGTGAGTGTGCGCAAGTGAGTGAGTCAGTGAGTGGGTGTGCGCGAGAGTGAGTGAGTGAGTGTGTGTGAGTGTGTGAGTGTGTGAGTCAGTGAGTCAGTGAGTCAGTGAGTGAGTGAGTGAGTCAGTCAGTGAGTCAGTGAGTCAGTGAGTGAGTGAGTGAGTGAGTGAGTGAGTGAGTGAGTGAGTGTGCGCAAGTGAGTGAGTCTGTGAGTGTGCGCGAGTGAGTGAGTGAGTGAGTGAGTGAGTGAGTGTGCGCGAGTGAGTGAGTGAGTGAGTCAGTGAGTGGGTGTGCGCGAGCGTGAGTGAGTGTGCGCGAGCGAGCATGAGTGAGTGAGTGTGCGCGAGTGAGTGAGTGAGTCAGTGCGTGTGCGCGAGTGAGTGAGTGTGTGCGCGAGTGAGTGAGTGTGTGCGCGAGTGAGTGAGTGTGTGCGCGAGTGAGTGAGTGTGCGCGAGTGAGTGAGTCAGTGAGTGTGTGCGCGAGTGAGTGAGTGAGTGCGTGTGCGCGTGAGTGAGTCAGTGAGTCAGTGAGTGTGTGCGCGAGTGAGTGAGTGAGTCAGTGAGTGTGTGCGCGATTGATTCAGTGAGTCAGTGAGTCATTGAGTCAGTGAGTCAGTGAGTGTGTGCGCGAGTGAGTGTGTGAGTGTGTGAGTGTGTGAGTGTGTGAGTGTGTGAGTGTGTGAGTGAGTGAGTGAGTCAGTGAGTCAGTGAGTGAGTGAGTGAGTGTGCGCAAGTCAGTGAGTCAGTGAGTGGGTGTGCGCGAGTGAGTGAGTGAGTCAGTGAGTCAGTGAGTGGGTGTGCGCGAGCGTGAGTGAGTGAGTGAGTGAGTGAGTGAGTGAGTGAGTGAGTGAGTGAGTGAGTGAGTGAGTGAGTGAGTGAGTGAGTGAGTGAGTGAGTGAGTGAGTGAGTGTGCGTGAGCGAGCAAGAGTGAGTGAGTGTGCGCGAGTGAGTGAGTGAGTGAGTGAGTTAGTGAGTGTGTGCGCGAGTGAGTGTGTGCGCGAGTGAGTGAGTGAGTGAGTGCGCGCGAGCGTGAGTGAGTGAGTGAGTGAGTGAGTGAGTGAGTGAGTGAGTGAGTGAGTGAGTGAGTGAGTGAGTGAGTGAGTGAGTGAGTGAGTGAGTGAGTGAGTGAGTGTGCGTGAGCGAGCAAGAGTGAGTGAGTGTGCGCGAGTGAGTGAGTGAGTGAGTGAGTTAGTGAGTGTGTGCGCGAGTGAGTGTGTGCGCGAGTGAGTGAGTGAGTGAGTGCGTGTGCGCGAGTGCGTGTGCGTGAGTGAGTGAGTCAGTGAGTGTGTGCGCGAGTGAGTGAGTGAGTGCGTGAGTGCGTGAGTGAGTGAGTGAGTGAGTCAGTGAGTGTGTGCGCGAGTGAGTGAGTGCGCGAGCGTGAGTGAGTGAGTGAGTCAGTGAGTGAGTCAGTGATTGAGTGAGTCAGTGAGTCAGTGAGTGGGTGTGCGCGAGTGTGAGTGAGTGAGTGAGTCAGTGAGTGGGTGTGCGCGAGCGTGAGTCAGTGAGTCAGTGAGTCAGTGAGTCAGTGAGTCAGTGAGTGAGTGAGTGAGTGAGTCAGTGAGTCAGTGAGTCAGTGAGTGAGTCAGTGAGTCAGTGAGTGAGTGAGTGAGTGGGTGTGCGCGAGTGTGAGTGTGCACGAGTGAGTGAGTGAGAGAGTGAGTGAGAGAGTGAGTGTGCGCGAGCGTGAGTCAGTGAGTGAGTCAGTGAGTGAGTCAGTGAGTGAGTCAGTGAGTCAGTGAGTCAGTGAGTCAGTGAGTCAGTGAGTCAGTGAGTGAGTGAGTGAGTGAGTGGGTGTGCGCGAGTGAGTGAGTGAGTGAGTGAGTGAGTGAGTGAGTGAGTGAGTGAGTGAGTCAGTGAGTCAGTGAGTCAGTGAGTGGGTGTGCGCGAGCGTGAGTGAGTCAGTGAGTGAGTGAGTCAGTGAGTGGGTGTGCGCGAGTGTGAGTGTGCGCGAGTGAGTGAGTGAGTGAGTGAGTCAGTGAGTGGGTGTGCGCGAGCGTGAGTGAGTGAGTGAGTGAGTCAGTGAGTGGGTGTGCGCGAGTGTGAGTGTGCGCGAGTGTGAGTGTGCGCGAGTGAGTGAGTGAGTCAGTGAGTGGGTGTGCGCGTGAGTGAGTGAGTGAGTGAGTGAGTGAGTGAGTGAGTGAGTGAGTGAGTGAGTGAGTGAGTGAGTGAGTGAGTGAGTTTGCGCGAGCGTGAGTGAGTGAGTCAGTGAGTCAGTGAGTCAGTGAGTCAGTGAGTCAGTGAGTGAGTGAGTGAGTGAGTGAGTGAGTGAGTGAGTCAGTGAGTGGGTGTGCGCGAGTGAGTGAGTGACATATATTCTCATTGTCATTGTAGGTTCGGACACAAAGGTGATGCTGTCTAAAGTCAAGCTGCAGTTTGACGAGCTCAGAGACAAAGTGGAGTTTCTACACACTGTGAAGAAATATCTCCAGGTTTGTGCCAATTCTCTGTTGTGTTTTTAAGACATTTTTGAGCAAGAATATTCAGTATTTACATTTATGTACTTGGCCAAGATGCTCTTATCTTACAGCTTATTCAAGGTTTACATTTATCAGAGCAAATCAAAGAGCATGACCATGATGATGTCAGGAGGACCTATTTACAGCATTACCACCAGAAAATGTGTAGCAGTGTTCATAATAAGAGCGTCTGTGCCCAGCGGCGTAACTTAGTTTTAAACAATACAATGATATGTACAATAACAATTGCAGAAAAAAAATAACATAATGTCCAGAAATCAATTCCAAATGACAGTGTTGTTAGTCCCGAGATTCTTCGCATCAGTGAAGTAATAAATAGATTTGCATACATTTCTCGTGTCCCCTTTTTAGCCAGCTGAAAACGCTAGCCGCTCTGCTGAAACGCGTAGCTGTGGGCGCTTGAGAACGTTTGGCAGCGCAGCGTTTTTTTCAGTTGAGACACTTCGTTGCTATGATACAGAATATCCACAGCACAGTTTACTTGTAACCAGAGAATGTCTGATATGGGGAGAACTTCCACTCTCAGTAAACTTCCGGCTCCTGAACTGGCTGCAATTCCACTCTGGCTCCACATGGGGGCCCTCACAGGACGAGTGCAGAATGAATGGAGGTCTATGGAGATATACCCCTCAAAATCCACTTTTCTCAGGATATAATTTTTTGTCTAGTAATTTGAATGTTGTTTTCGAAAGGAGATGCAAAGAAATTACACATAGCTGGGTGTTAGATTTTTAAGAGTCACTTATTTGCTTTAAAAAGTCTTTTAAAATGTCAATGACGTCATACACATCGTACGACCAGAGATACTGCTTTACGGCAATCCTTCAGTCACTTTGGTGTGTTCGCGCTCTGCACTTTCCTTTCTCTCGAGACAGCTGACACAGGTAACACAGCTGACACAGGTAACACAGCTGACACAGGTAACACAGGTAACACAGCTGACACAGGTAACACAGCTGACACAGCTGACACAGGTAACACAGCTGACAGGTAACACAGCTGACACAGGTAACAAAGGTAACACAGCTGACACAGGTAACACAGCTGACACAGCTAACACAGGTAACACAGCTGACAAAGGTAACACAGCTGACACAGGTAACACAGCTGACACAGGTAACAAAGGTAACACAGCTGACACAGGTAACACAGCTGACACAGGTAACACAGGTGACAGGTAACACAGCTGACAGGTAACACAGCTGACAGGTAACACAGCTGACACAGGTAACACAGCTGACAGGTAACACAGCTGACAGGTAACACAGCTGACAGGTAACACAGCTGACACAGGTAACACAGCTGACACAGGTAACACAGCTGACACAGGTAACACAGCTGACACAGGTAACACAGCTGACACAGGTAACACAGCTGACACAGGTAACACAGCTGACACAGGTAACACAGCTGACACAGCTGACACAGGTAACACAGCTAACACAGGTAACACAGCTGACACAGGTAACACAGCTGACACAGGTAACACAGCTGACACAGGTAACACAGCTGACACAGGTAACACAGCTGACACAGGTAACACAGCTGACACAGGTAACACAGGTGACAGGTAACACAGCTGACAGGTAACACAGCTGACACAGGTAACACAGCTGACAGGTAACACAGCTGACACAGGTAACACAGCTGACACAGGTAACACAGCTGACACAGGTAACACAGCTGACACAGGTAACACAGCTGACACAGGTAACACAGCTGACACCGGTAACACAGCTGACACAGGTAACACAGGTAACACAGCTGACACAGGTAACACAGCTGACACAGGTAACACAGCTGACAAAGGTAACACAGCTGACACAGGTAACACAGCTGACAGGTAACACAGCTGACACAGGTAACACAGCTGACACAGGTAACACAGCTGACACAGGTAACACAGCTGACACAGGTAACACAGCTGACACAGGTAACACAGCTGACACAGGTAACACAGCTGACAGGTAACACAGCTGACACAGGTAACACAGCTAACACAGGTAACACAGCTGACACAGGTAACACAGCTGACACAGGTAACACAGCTGACACAGGTAACACAGCTAACACCGGTAACACAGCTGACACAGGTAACACAGCTGACACAGGTAACACAGCTGACAAAGGTAACACAGCTGACACAGGTAACACAGCTGACACAGGTAAACACACGTGCTAGAAGAGTTTTTGTAAAACTAAAGTTCTTAACATTATGGTCCCGCTTCGGATGCCATCAAGCGGTGTCTCTGGTCGTAATCAGTCCTTTACTGACCAACCAGCGTTCATTAGCAGAATGCTAGCGTGTTATGGGCAACAACAACTCAACCTGTAAGAAATCGAAAGGACATAAGTACTCGTTCATTCAACTGTCGACCTATAACCCATGTTGAACTTGCAAAACCTACAATCAAATCTGAGATTTCTTAACGGCAATCGGGTGAAAGAGACAAATTTAGCCGTCTAGCTCCATAGACTCCCATTCACTCACGCACTCATGGGCGATCGCCCCCAGTGGAACTCTGGTGGAACTACAACCACAATTCAGTACAATAGACTTAATAGGGAGTGGCCAGGCTTTCCGTAGACGGGCTTTGTTGTAACTGATTTCGCAGATAATTTGTTTCATACTAAATGTATTTTTCATCCATGTTATTCGGTTAGCTCTGCTGGTGGATGTCGTTGTACAGAAAGAATGTTGTGGCAGTTGGTCGGTGTGGTATTAGCCCCGCCCCTCCTCCACTGTGATTGGACGGCTGGGTAAAAAGTGACAGTGATGAGCGCTGCGTTTTACCCAAAGTTGAACGTTCTTCAACTCTCGGCGACCAGTAAAAAGCGCCGGGCGCTCAGCGCTTCAGCGTGAAAAAAACGTTCTGCGCCTCGTTACACTCATGGCGTTTAAAAAACGCGGTGCTTCCATTGAAAACAATAGAAAAAATACGCCAGCCGCGTGAAAAAACACTTTGGTGGACACATGGCCCTGGTCGAACTTTTTCTAAGTTTCTAATCCGCCCTTGTATAGTTTTTTCCCCCATTAAAACCAAATGTGTTCATCATCGCTGATCAGTTATTCTAGGACGTGTTTCTGTGCAGTTTCTTTTGTGATTTCACCGGAACAAATAGATGCTGTGTTCGAAATCCCTCATTCACTATTCCCTACATCTCTCCCCTAATTTAGTCCACTGAAGGAGTGAATGAAAACGAGTGAGTGAATTCAGACACTGAGTGCCTTTTGCATAGTTTGTGCTGCTTAATAATCATTTAAAACGTTGCAAACTGGCAGCTCCAGGACCAGTAGTAATGAAAAGATTTATCTTTAACTCTGTCATGGAAACTAGCATACATAAACCGTAATTAAACAATTTAATAATCAATTAAAAAGGAATGATATTACGCTGTAGCCACATTGGACCAGCGGTTTGGACGCGCCATCTTCTGGTCATACGCGGGAATTCATCCGACGCGCCACTCTCACAGTGCATTATGGGTATTCTCTAGCCGTTGAGCACATAGATATCCATAATAAAGGCTAGATGTCTTACGGCGGAGTCTCTGGCCCAAACAATCTCTGTTACCTTAAATTGTATGTTTATCTCTGTAAAGCTGCTTTGAAACAATCTCCATTGTTAAAAGCGCTATATAAATGAAGATGACTTGACTTGACTTGAGTGTTTGGGATTTATCATGGATTCACTGCATTTACGGCCAGCAAAGCAACTTAGTAAAATTCGAATAGTATTTTATTTTTCGAATAATAATTACAGATCGAAAATTCGAATATTCGTGCACATCCCTACTTGCTACGGATGCGAAAAACGCAGAAAATCGAACCCGATTCGATTTTTTTAATGACGGACGAAAGTTTCGGAGGCAGTGTGCAAGCGTGATTGACGTGATAACGTGAGGTCGTATTTCTTTTTTAACGTGCAAAAATTTCGGATGTGAATTTCGGACTCAGTGTGCAAGGGCCTAGGAACGATTTTAGTTCTAGCAACTCTTTTGGAGGAACATATTTAGCTCCTACTTCAGAGTCGGTCTAAACTTAACCAGCACTACAGGGCCCTGTCCCAAATGGCACACTCCGGACTTGTTGACTTCCTCAGAGTCCACACTTCAGTGACGTCATGTAGTGCAGACCTATAGGGCCCTTAGCGCGAGTCCGCGAGGGCGCATTGAGAGGTATTTTTGGGACAGACTCGATCGTCACGCCGGAAACAGGAAGACGGTCTGGTTGTTGTTATGGACAGGAGCTGCAGGTTCGGGGAAATATGCCGCCTATTGTTGTTGTGTTTACATATGACTCAGTAAAGCCCTGACATTCTGTTCTATTTATTTAATGAATCATAATGCGATCGTATTATTCAGCTCGCTATTATTAGCCTATGTTTGAGACATCAGCCACTGGTCGATGATCATAATGTTTGTATAAACTTATCATAAAAACCGTAATGATAATTACACTTAAATATTTTCTTCTCAGCCATGTTAACAATTGTCCGTGAGCGAAATCTCCTCCCATCCGTTGTCTGATTGGCCTTTCGCAAGGATTCCTGGGTAGTTAAAGTGCGTGGAGCCTGCATGTATGAGGGCTTCGTGGAAGACCGCTTCAAGGGTACACAGGGGGCGCTGCTGAGCACACTTCAGAGCGTTAAAATGCTAAATGGGACGGCCTACGGACTCGTAGACTCGGCGAGCACGCGCAATTTAAGTCCACGAGACCGAAAGTCTGCATGAAGTGCGCCATTTGGGACAGGGCCTCTATCGTCATCACCGGCGGCCATCTTGTCACAGGCAAGCTTTCTGGCGGGCTCTGTGGTGCCTGATGTAAGATGAGTGATCAGCACGAACACAAATACTCTTATCTCGTTGAAATCTTGACGGATTTACAAACGGTTTGGTTTCTTACAAACATTATTAACGTGGCTATAATTCTGGATGATTATTTATTTATACACTTATTATTCATAAGTGTGCAGTGTCATAACTACATCTCTGACGTTTATAACAAACCAAACCGTTTGAAAATCGGTAGAAAATTTAGCAAGTTATGGTTATTTAAAAAGTACATGCACCATTAAAACACAATGTTACAAGTGAGCGAGCTGCCTGTGGCAAGATGGCCGCCAGTGCGGACGTCGACCTCCATTGGCCAGCAGCGCGGACGAGACATCTGGCCTTTACTATGGATATTTATGGTTGAGCATACATCGGTTGTACACTCGTTATTGCGGTGCATTGTGGGATTGAATGAGAGCACTAACGTCCACTATAGTTTCATACACCTCTACAAATGGCTGTTCCCTCAAATAGTGTCCTATTTAAGGGTATAGGGAGCGTTAAACGATAGATTGAAGCGTGTTCAAGAGAACCGATAACAGCGGCAACGAGCACTCGCCTTGATGTAAAGAACAACACATTCCAGCAATAGATCGCCTCTTATTTAACACAAACGAGTGGAGATGTTTCTGTCTCTCAGGTGTTGAGCGTGGATCAGTGTGGTTTGCCGCTCTCTCTGCTGCCCTCTCTGGCCGCGAGTGGAACTGCACCTCTAGATCTGCAGGACTCGGAGGATCCAGCGCTGATGCTGTTCGTGTGTGAGCGGCTCAGGGCGAACGACTGCCCGCTAGTGACCGCAACGCCACGAGGGCTGATGGCGTACCTGTACGCCAGGTAATGAATCTTTGCCAATAATAGTCATTATATATATTGTGACCCTGGACCACAAAACCAGTCACAAGGGTCAATTTTTGGAAAATGAGATTTATACATCATCTGAAAGCTGAATAAGCTTTTCATTGATGTATGGTTTGTTATGATAAATGTGCAAATATGACAAATATTTGGCCGAGATACAACTATTTGAAAATCTGGAATCTGAGGGTGGAAAAAAAATCGAAACATTGAGAAAATCGACTTTAAATTTATGTTCTCGCTTTTGCTGCATCCACTCACAAAAATCTATTTTTGATATATTTACGGTAGAAAATTTACAAAAATATTTTCATGGAACATGATCTTTACTTAATATCCTAATGATTTTTGGCATAAAAGAAAAATTGATCATTTTTACCCATACAATGTATTATTGGCTATTGCTACAAATATACCCTTGTGACATTCAATTCAATTCAAATTTATTTGTATAGCGCTTTTCACAATACATATGGTTTCAAAGCAGCTTTACAGAAAGTGCATTTCAGAAATGTACATAGAAAAATACAGTTAGTTAATCATGTATTAATTTAGGGCATAACATATCGCCGGCGTTGAGTCGTCTCTTCACAGGCGTCGACATGTGACTGGTTTTGTGGTCCAGGGTCACGTATGAGTCTGCTCGTACTCTTACCCTCATCACACGTGTCGTTGACAGGAACGCTCACTCCGAGGGATTTATTCAGCAGTTTTTCTACACGTATCGCTACTTTTGCACCCCTGAGGAGCTTCTGCAGTTTCTGATGGACAGATTTAACAGCACACTGGGGTACGAGTGAAATTAATATGACCACTGTAACAGAATAAACTTAGAGTAGACTGGTCAAGAAAAACTTGGATGTTGACCTAAAAATATAGTTTGACAGTTAGTTTGAATGTTATACAGTCTGAAGGGACGGATGGACTGATAGATAGATAGATAGATAGATAGATAGATAGATAGATAGATAGATAGATAGATAGATAGATAGATAGATAGATAGATAGATAGATAGATAGATAGATAGATAGATAGACAGATGATAGATAGATATAGATAGACAGAAAGACGATAGAGAGATAGATAGACAGATGATAGATAGATATAGATAGACAGACGATAGAGAGATAGATAGATAGATAGATAGATAGATAGATAGATAGATAGATAGATAGATAGATAGATAGATAGATAGACAGATAGATAGATAGATAGATAGACAGACGATAGATAGATATAGATAGATACATAGGCAGATGATAGATAGATATAGATAGACAGACAGACGATAGATAGATAGATAGATAGATAGACAGATAGATAGATAGATAGATAGATAGATAGATAGATAGATAGACAGACGATAGATAGATATAGATAGATACATAGGCAGATGATAGATAGATAGATAGATAGATAGATACAGTGGTGTGAATAAGTTATTACCCCCATGCTAAAGTTGCCTAAAAAGAGGAATAAAAAATCATCTTTTGGAAATTGATCTTAATTAATTAATTAGAAAAATGAGGAAAAATCCAACCTTTAAGGACACCAATTTTCTTTGTGTATGAATAATGTATCATAAATAAATAAATGTTCTTCCTTAAAATACAGGGTGCATAAGTCAGGCCCCCCCTATGTTAAATTCCCATAGAGTCAGGCAGATTTTTATTTTTAAAGGCCAGTTATTTCATGGATCCAGGATAATATGCATCCTGATAAAGTTCCCTTGGCCTTTGGAATTAAAATATCCCACATCATCACATTCCCTTCACCATACCTAGAGATTGGCATGGTGTTATTTCAGTTAGCCTAATAGCTGGTTTGATTTGCATTGAAAGATGATCTTATGGAAAGTACCCCATGCCAATCTCTAGGTATGGTGAAGGGAATGTGATGATGTGGGTCTATTTTAATTCCAAAGGCCAAGGGAACTTTATCAGGATGCATATTATCCTGGATCCATGAAATAACTGGCCTTTAAAAATAAAAATAGATAGATAGACAGACAGACGATAGATAGATAGATAGATAGATAGATAGATAGATAGATAGATAGATAGATAGATAGATAGATAGATAGACAGATGATAGATAGATAGATAGATAGATAGATAGATAGATAGATAGATAGATAGATAGATAGATAGATAGATAGATAGACAGATAATAGATAGATAGATAGATAGATAGATAGATAGATAGATAGATAGATAGATAGATAGATAGATAGATAGATAGACAGATAATAGATAGATAGATAGATAGATAGATAGATAGACAGATAATAGATAGATAGATAGATAGATAGATAGATAGATAGATAGATAGATAGATAGACAGATAATAGATAGATAGATAGATAGATAGATAGATAGATAGATAGATAGATAGATAGATAGATAGATAGATAGATAGATAGATTTTGTTAAGCCCACATAATTAAGGTTTACAGAGAGAGTTAATCATCCACAGTCTCATACTAATTAAATAATAATCTCCAAGAAGTTAATTTAAATGAAATGTAAGTGTGTTCTGCATTAACTGTCAAACGGCAGAGCGAATGAAGATCCCTCGTCAGACGCTGCAAAAGTGTATCAGCGAACGCTGGATTTATTACACTTCTGGATCGGACAGAGTTTGGACTTCAGCTCCGGCTCGGATCTTCTGCACACACTGAACACTTTCCTGAACTCTGAGGTACCAAACGTGTGTGTGCGTTTGTGTGTGTGTGTGTCTCTCACAGTGTCTGAATGTGTGTGTACACTACCAGTCAAACGTTTTAGTTTCGTAAGTTTTTAAAAGAAGTCTCTTCTGCTCACCAAGGCTGCATTTATTTGATTCAAAATACAAAAATAAAACTGTAATTTTGTTAAATATTATGACAATTTATTGATCTATTTTAATATAAAATGTCATTTATTCCTGTGATCAAAGCTGAATTTTCAGAATCATTACTCCAGTCTTCAGTGTCTTTCTATTTCACATAAATGCTTTTCTTTTTAATTTTTTTATTCATCAAAGAATTCTGAAATAAAAATGTAAATAACTGTTTTTAACATTGATAATAATCAAAAATGTTTCTTGAGCATCAAATCATCATATTAGAGTGATTTCTGAAGGATCATGTGACACTGAAGACTGGAGTAATGATGCTGAAAATTCAGCTTTGATCACAGGAATAAATTACACTTTACTGTATATTCACATAGAAAACAGAATTTAATTCTAATAATATTTCACAATATTACTGTTTTTTTTTTTTTTTTTTTTTAATCAAATAAATGCAGCCTTGGTGAGCAGAAGAGACTTGTTTTAAAAACATTAATATCTTACCGATTCAAAACTTTGGACTGCTAGTGTGTGTGTGTGAGATGACCGTGGGACACTGTGTGTTCAGGTGGCACCGGGTGACAGTCGCAGAGAGAGTTTGCTGGTGATGCTTCAGGCCATGCCCAGAAAGAGGCGTGTCTGTGGCCTGTCATGTGACCCATCATGTGATGACGACGCCTCCATCAGTGGTTCAGAAGACCAGCAGTCCATTCACTCCTCATCCAGGAGATCATCCATCCAAGATGTGACTCACAAGGTCTGTGAACATCAGTCAAGATGCTCATGCATTAAAGGCAAGACACTACAGGTGAATGGAGAAAAAACATAACGTTTATTTGACAGTGTCCTTGTTACACGTTACATGTAGTTACTGTAGTAATAAAAATAAAATAGTAAATTATACATTTTACTATATATTCACATAGAAAACAGCTGTTTAACATTGTAATAATATTTTACAATTTTACTGATTTTAATGTATTTTTTTAATCAAATAAATGCAGCCTTGGTGAGCAGAAAAGGCTTTTATTCAGTAAAAAACAAATATTTTTCCAAACATTTTACCGTTAGTGTAATTCAAGATATATGAATGTCGTCAGTTTTTTAATTTTCATCATGGTTCGTTCGTTGTTGTAATCATATGTTGCATCTACTTATCATAGTAATAACAGTAAATGCATAATTACAAGCAACTAACCCTAAACCAAACCCTTATCTTAACCCAAACCTATTAGAAAGATTGGGAGTTTTTTTTAAGGGAGGGGGGAGGGGGTCTATGGGCTCGGTCAGGATTTCCGGCTTGCAAGATGGGATCTGAGTGAGTCGGGTACAGCCAGGAGCTGGATTCTGAAAATGAGAAGCTAATTAATATTAGGATTAAAGTCGGTGAAGATTGTAGACATAGTAGTAATTATTAGAGCCTAAAAGTGTTCCTAAAAGAGATCTCTTCTTGGTTTTTATAGATTTCAAAAATGGATAGAGACGATTGCTTCAAGAGCATGGTCAGACTCCTACACAAATATATTAAAATCACTCACCACCTTTATTTATGTGAGATGGAGGAGGAACCAGGGCCAAGATCCCTGCAGAAGGTAGCCAGGTGGCTGGGAACGGTGGTAGTGCCAGCAGACCCGACACCCACAGTAGGCTGGAAGCTTCACGGGAGTGCCAGGAGGTGGCTCTGTGAAAGTTTGGATATTTTAAAGCAACCTTTATACTTCAATCCAGGAGGAAGTCTTGGCCTAGTTGAAGAGGATGGATTTGGAGGAAGGGGAGAGGGCTCTGGAAGTAGGAGTTAGATGGGCCCGCAGGAATTTGAAAAATATCTGGGAGAGTACCATAAGAGTTGCCATGGGAGAGATCAGACAACTGTGGGTTGGTGAGGGTTTGGCCGTGACGAGGCCCCTTGACCCTCTGAAGTTGGCGGGATTGGTAAAACCAGCGAGTAGTACCTCACAGGTGAGGCGGAAGGGTGTAAGACAGCTGCAGGGGGCCCCGCAAGAGCAGGAACAAGGGGACCAAGATTTAGGGGCAGCTGAGACTGAGCCTCAAGGGAATGATGGGGAACATTCACCGACCAAAGAGGAAGAAGTGAGGGTACAGGGACAGATGGGTCAGACAAGGATGATGTGATCTGGGTCACAATGAATGAGGTGGCTGGCAGTAGTGGATCACAAGTTACCCAGGAGGAGGATGTGGGAAAGAAGAGGATGGAGGAGGAGGAGAAGAAAGAGTCACAGGGGGAGTTAGAGGAAGCAAGGGATTGGGAGGGGTTCAGAAGACAGGATAATGGAGGTCATAAACTTAAGTATTGGTCTCTGCAACCTGACAGGGCCTACGGCTCTACCGGATTGGTGGAAAAATTGATCAAGAGGACCTTGGGGGCGGCGGAATATACCTTCCCTAATGCGCAGATCCTCATCCCGGTTATAAACTTCCATAGGTATCTACATAAAAACCAAGTCATGATCCTTAACCAGATCAATGCGCATATCATCAGCAGTGGGAGAGCAATAGACATCCTCCACAGCCAGCATTTCCGAACAGAGTTGAACCTGACCCATTGGACTCGAGGTACAGGCTGGGCAATGTGGAAGCACTGGTTGGCTCGTTTAAACTGATAAGGGAGAGGCACCCGGTCAACCAGAGTCTGTGGAACTTCTCCCAAACAAGAGTTCTTAACAAATTTGAGATGTCAGTCCTACAGAGGGGTTATCCTTTGTCCCTTGAGGCACGGGGATGGGAGGGGATACTTGGAACAGGTTGGAAGCAGAGGCAGGGCTTAAGGAATATCATAGGTGACTGAAATTGGCTGCTTTTTTTGAGGTAGAGGGAGGGGAAGGACAGAGAGCACCATATACACCAAGCTCGGGGTGGGAACCCAGGGGGAGCCAGGTTGCAAAAGTGGTTCAGGAGATGGAGGAGGACCAGAAGATCTTGAAAGAGATGAAGGAGGTTGCAGAAACCTGGAACCTTTCCGACGGGGAATGGGTGGCCCTGAAAGGAATGAGAGGGGATAGCTCTATAGTGATTAAGCCAGCGGATAAGGGCAGTATTGTGGTCGTGATGGATAGGGAGCAATATGTGAGGGAGACAGTGAGACAACTAGAAGAGTGTGAGTTTTATAAAGAATTAGAGAAGCCCATCTATTGAGTCGGTGGAATTGATTAAGGGGGATATGCAGATATTGCAAGAGACGGGGACCTTAAACAAAAGGCAGGTCCAATACATATCAGGGGGCAAGACACTCCCAGGGAGAGAAGATTCTACCTGCTGCCGAAGGTGCATAAGGACAGGACGGCCTGGCCCTTCCTGGATGTCCCTCCTGGAAGACCGATAGTATCGGATTGTGGGAGTGAGAGTTACGGGGTGGCTGAGTTCATTATTTCATACCTGAATACACTCTCCACCAGGCACACTAGTTACATCAGGGACCCCTACCATTTCCTGGAGAAAGTCCAGGGGATGAAGATCAGTCCCAACGCCAGGCTCTTCTCCATGGATGTGGAGAGTCTCTACACTAATATAGAGATGGAGAGGTGGCTGGAGGCAGTTAAGAAGTGCTTCCAGCGGTATCCGGAGGAAGGAAGACCAGAGGACAGTCTGCTGAGACTCTTGGAGCTAAGCCTTACCCGGAACGACTGAGTTTAATGGTCGTTATCTCTCTCAAGTCAAAGGGACGGCGATGGGCAAGAGATTTGAACCGGCATATGCAAATATTTATATGGCCGAATGGGAGGAGTCTGTGTTCCCGAAGTGCAAATCTCTGCCCACCCAATACTGCAGATATTTGGATGACGTGTGGGGAGTTTGGGACGGATCTGTACTTGGGAAAATGATAGTTGAAGCAGCTAAAACCCTGATGAAGGCCCTTAGGGTGAAGGGATATTCCCGGCACTTCCTGAGGATGGCGGCGAAAGAGGTGAGAGGTATGGGCAGGGGATGAACCCAGGCCCTACATTAAAAAGTGCTTCCTTTTATCGTGAAGTTTTCAGGCACGGCCAAGGGTTTAGCTACAAGAGTGAGGAGGAATTTTGAGAGGTTGTCACAGGACAAGGCACTGGGCATACAATACAGGATGGTGGCGGCCTACAAAAGAGGGAAAAACCTGCAGGATATTCTGGTTCACAGCAAACTGGGTCCATCAAATAAAGGAGCTCCAACAAAAAGCCCATGACACCTTGGTGAGAGGAGGACAGAGACAGTGCATCGGATCACTCAGGCCTAACCCCATCCTTCTTAACCACAGGAATTGCGTTTATTTGATCAGATGCTCCTGGTGTGGGAAGAGATACGTTGGGGAAACCGGCAACTCTATACTCACTAGGATGTGGGGGCAAAGGTACACTGTGAAGAAAGAGACACAGCGGAAGGGACCTAATTTCCAAAGGCATGGGATCCAGAACCTAAAGATATGTGGACTGGAGCACAATCCGGAATGGGGCAAGAGAGACAGGCTGAAGAGGGAGAGGTACTGGATCAGGAAACTGGACACATGGTTTCCCAAAGGGCTCAATATAAGAAACGGTTGAAAGTCAATAAACGTTGGTGAGAAATAATATGAAGTAATGTCTTTTGTTGGAACCCTAACAGGGATCCAAAAGGTAATCATTTTTTCTAAGAAAATGGGAGGGAGGGAGACTTAATTAGGATCCAATTGGGCTATCCCTGCTTCTGCAATATAAAACCTACCCCTTACTAGGGATTAGGACCAAATTCTTTTAACATACCTAAACCTACCCCTCACAGGAATGGGACTTAACTAGGATGTAATCAGTGTTAATTTCGTTGACGAAAATAACGACGAAAATTATTCGTCAACGACATTTTTTCACAGACGAAAACGAGACGATAACTAAATAAAACCTAGTTTTGAATGACAAAGACTATGACGAAAATCTATTGACATTTTCGTCAACGAATAAAAACTAGACGAAAATGTTAGATAGTGACGATTTGGGAAGCGATCCGTCAGAATTGATGTCCTGCGTGTGTGATAGATGCGCACATTTGTAGGCTACTGTAACGTGATCTACCCCGCGGTCATAAAACGTTAAAAAATGTGAACGTCTGGGAGAATGAGTAGAGCAGACATATAGATCTCTGAATAAGAGTGACGATGCAAAAAAGAGTTCTATTCGGTGCGGTTTTCTGTGCGCACACACCTAACCCGAAGCGTGCAGTCATGCACAATACGCCTACAGCGCGCGAGTAGGCTACTGAATTGAGCTCTCTTTCGTGTCTGAATGGACAAATACACACAACAGTATGTCTAAATGTCCGTTTTAGAGAGTATTCATGTAAACTATGTTGGTTATGTCTTAAACTGTGAGTGTATCGGATGTGCATCAGTGCAATTGTATCCGCATGTCATTGGACATGATCCGACGTCTTAAAGTGACAGTGGCAATAAACATAATGCGGTCCGTGTCCTTAATTTTGATCAAGCAACAAAAGAAAAAGAGAAAAGCATTCACTGTTTGTTAATAGCTTTAATAAGGATTAATTATATTGAATTCATACAAATAAATATGTCTGCTTGAAAGAATAAAGAATGATGTATGCAAGTAGTTATAAGGAATGCATATATCATTCATTGTAAAGAAGACTGTGTTGTACTTTAGGAAAAGTGGTTTTATTTAATTTTAAGATATTTTTTAAGTAACAGCAGTTAAATCTGTATCTGTATTGCATGTTCAAACTTAAAAATCATTCATATTAATAGGTTAATAGATGTTTTCTCCGGGAGTAAATGGGTTTGGAAATTTTAGAGAAATTCTAAATTAACGCATTACTAAACCCATTATATTTTAGTCGACTAAATCTACTGTAGATTTAGTCGACTAAAATGTTATTGTATTTCGTCGACTAAAACTAGACTAAAACTAAAACAATTCAGATGACTAAAATATGACTAAAACTAAATGCCATTTTAGTCAAAAGACTAAGACTAAAACTAAATAAAAATTTGCTGACAAAATTAACACTGGATGTAATTGGGCTATCCCTGTACCTAAAACCTAACAATTACAGGAGATTAAAATATAATAATAATAATTGAATAATAATTGAATAAGGGAAACTCGAGAGTTGCGTGGTGGGGTGGTTAATGCGGGTGTGTTGGAAACAGAGGGACCCAGGTTCGAGACCAGCATCAGAACGAATTTGTTTAAAGGTGCGATGGATTATGGGATGTAATTTAGGGTGAGTAGGAGAAATTTAGAGTCATGTGGTGGAGTGGTTAGTGCCGGTAAGTTGGAAACAGAGGGATTCGAGTTCGAGACCAGCATCAGAACAAAGTTGTTAGAGGGTGGTATGGTTCATTGGATGTAAGTTAGATAGAATTGAGACCAGTTTTGGTTCAAGTGAATGTTGGATTCAATTTAATGATTGGTTAAGAGGTTAGGTTGAGAGAACCGGTTACACGTAGGTGGTGGGCAAAAAAAATTTGAGATGGGATTTAAGAGAGTGAAACACGAATGGCGAATCCACGATGGAAAAAGATCTAGCAACGATGGATTGATAGACAGAATTCACCATTGAAACAATGATGGGTCGATAAGGGACAGTTTGGTCACAAAAGATTGTGGGAAAAGAGAATTAGGAGGTTGCCAGGAGTGTGACAACAGGTGCATGAAGATAATTGGTAGAGGAGTGTTAAGGTTTATGCTGCCTTGCGATAAGTGATGTCTTTTAAGGTTGGCATATTCTTAGGGGTGACGATTGGTAAAAGGTTGGTGCTTTGGTACCTGCCAATCTGAACCTCGTGACACAGGCCCTTTTCGGTGACCCGGGATACCTTGCGGTGTTAACGGAGGGGTTACTCGGGAAGGGAGGTAGGTATCCAACCTCTCTGGGTCCACTTGGACAGCACGCAGGGAAGGTGGCCTTGGGTTGAAGGGCCGTAACTGGAACCCAGTCTTCTTTCAATGATTAGCATTAGAGGTTATGTAATATTAGTTGAGGTTGTTGGGGATGGTGGGGAGGCACCTTGTAGATTGAGCAATGGTATCATGGGAGATATGGGTATCATGAGGTTGTGATCAGGCTGGCAGTCTTGACAAAACGGGATTATCATGAACTAGTAATTGTCCTGAAAATATCTGAAGTCTTCTAAGCCAAACGCCTAGGACTGATCCCCATGGCCGCCTCAGAGGAAGGGTGTCTGGTGTTTAAAGAGCCGAAACACCCAGTGATCCTGAGGTACACCACTGAAGATGTGTTCCTTGGATGAATAGGGTTAGACTTATGATCAGGTTTTTTTTTTAATTTTTTGTTAAAGGACCAAATTCCTTTAACATACCTACCAAACCTACCCCTCACAGGAGGGAGACTTAATTCATATAGGGTTGGGCTGTCCCGGTTCTTGAAACAATCATAGGAAAATGGGTTGATGTGGACATAGGAAAATAACCCAATTGTGTGTTTGTTGGTATGGGTGGATCAGCCTCAGCAAAAACATGTGCATTTCTGTGTCCTTGCTAATCTAAACTGGATAACCGGGAGAGGTTGTCTGGGGGAAGGCGTTGTCTTTTCACAAGCCTAGCCCTATAGTTAGAACATGTAGTTAATTATTACTACTCAGTACGTAAATATATAATTACACAAAATAAATTGTAACCAACTTAACTAATAGATATCACTATACTTCCACGGGTGATTACTTTAACAACTGCCAAATTGTTTTGTATTACAAGTTTGCTGAAATTATATGTTTCAATGTAAACGAGTCATTATGTCATTAAATATGCACTAATTTGCATACATTACAATTTTTAAGCCTTTTTTTAACCTTTTATCACTTCATAAATCAGAAAATATTGTCAACAACAACAACAAAAAAAATCATTTTCACTGTTCTTTGGAATAAATGTTATAAAATCAGATGCATGTTATAAACCTTCAGAAGATGCATAGGAATAAAACTGTAAAATTAGTTTTGTGTAAAGCTGCTGTTTTCAGTTATAAATAAAACATAGAATTCATTATACGAGTATATTTTACAAAAAATTCTATTTCAATCTCTACACTTTCACTCTACATTTCACATTTATTCCAAAGTCTTATTTGCCTTTTTTATTTTGTAATTTAGTAGAATTTCTGAGTAAAAATTGTGTACTACTATATTTTAGTACTGAGTAATAATTAACAGCATGTACTTGCTATAGGGTTAGGATTAGGGTTTGTTTTAGGGTTAGTTGCATGTAATTATGCATAATTACTGTTTTTATTTAGAAAAAAAATGTATTGAACAATTATTCATGTACAAACAATGCATAATTACTGTTATTACTGTGATAATTAGATGCAACAAATGTAACACAGACACTGTAAAATAAAGTTTATTTTCAGTTTATTTATTGTAACGGAAATCTAAAGATGCTAAATAGATAAAGTGTAATGAAATAAACCCCTTAAATGTGTATTTGGGATGGGGTTTTTTCCACTAGTCTGAAAGAAGACAGTGTTTTTGTCTGTATGGTTGTCTTAAGAAAAAATCGGTAACACTTTATTTTACAGTGTGCTTACATATGTTACAATTACTTACCATAGTAAATTAGTACAACAGTAAATGATGCATAATTACATGCAACTAACCCTCAACCAAACCCTAATCCTATACTAAGTGCATGCTTAATATTACTCGGTACTTAAATATATGATTACACGGTAACACAGATGCCTTCAAATAAAGTGTAACCAAAAAATCGAACGCATGTATATTTGTCCACAGCATCCATTAATGGTCTGACTGCATGTGTCTGGTATTGTTGTTCTGATGATGATGATGATGATGATTGCAGGGTTTCCAGTGGCGTGTGTCTCGTGTGGTGGAGCCTCAGAAGGGTGTGTGTAAAGAGAAAGGGTTCTCCATCGCCGCGGCTCTTCCTCGGCCCTGTTACGCGTCTCTGATGAGACAGATGTCCAACACCAGTGTGAGATCAGAGGAGAGACTGGCCTTCAGTCAGACACAACACACACCGACACACATCGCTCAGCAGCTCACGTTACTGGAGCAGGTGAGGAAAACACCAACACCCCTCACTGTCTCTGTCGGAAATATATTATACATTACATGTAATATAATATAATAAAATATATTATATATATATATATTACACTACCGGTCAAACGCTTGGAATAATTACGTTTTTTAATGTTTTTAGGCTCCTCTGCTCACCAAGGCTACATTTTATTTGATCAAAAATACAGTGGAATATTATTATAATGTAAATCATCTGTTTTCTATGTGAATATACAGTAAAGTGTAATTTATTCCTGTGATCAAAGCTGAATTTTCAGCATCATTACTCCAGTCTTCAGTGTCACATGATCCTTCAGAAATCACTCTAATATGAGGATCTGATGCTCAAGAAACATTTATGATTATTATCAATGTTGAAAAGAGTTGTGCTGCTTCATATTGTTTTGCTTCATTTGGGGTAAGTAATATCTAAAAAAAAAAAAAAAAAAAAAAGTAGTTTTATTAATCAAGGATGCATTAAATTGATCAAACATGACAGTAAAGTCATTTATAATTACAAAAAAAATGTAAAATATAAGTGCTCTCCTTTTGTACTTTATATTAATCAAAGAATCCTGAACAAAATTGATCACGGTTTCCACAAATACGTATATTAAGTAATCTTCAACTTAAGTAATTGATAATGGTTCTTATTTGTATCAATAATTAAGCATATTAGAGTGATTTCTGAAGGATCATGTGACACTGAAGACTGGAGTAATGATGCTGAAAATTCAGCTTTGATCACAGGATAAATTACACTTTACTGTATATTCACATAGAAAACAGCTGATTTTCCCAAAAAATGATCAGTCGTGTAATTCAAAATATATGAATGTCCTAAGTGTTTTAATTTTCATCTTCATCATCATTCGTCCGTTGTTGTTGTTGTTGTTGTTGTTTAAAAAGATCACCCTGTTTTCCCCGTTTTTTGTGCTCTATCCTCACGCTGTTATTTACAGATCCACCTCTAGGCGGAGACACATGATCATTGTCTTGTTTTCATGCATATGTTGATTCTTAAGTTTCTTCAAGGACTGAATCACCTCTCATGTCAAATACTGGTTTTGATTCAGCATTTATATTCACGTCTCACGTAGGAAATATTCCAGGACTGTCATCCAGTTCACTTTCTGAACTCGAGAGCTCATGGAGTGGCAGAAAACTCCACACACTTTTCCAGGTGAGTTTCCACTGATGCACTTCTGAAACTCAGATCCTTAAAAATATGTGTGTTAAGGATAGTTAACACAGTGTATCTGCTTTTTAAAGTCTCAAAACATGTTTCTAATTCATTTAACACACTGCATGCAACCTCACAGATACACAGGTGAAACTCGAAAAATTAGAATATGGTGCAAAAGTTAATTTATTTCAGTAATTCAACTTAAAAGGTGAAACTAATATATTATATAGACTCATTACATGCAAAGTGAGATATTTCAAGCCTTTATTTGTTATAGTTTTGATGATTATGGCTTACAGCTTATGAAAACCTTTTCACAATATTCTCATTTTGACTTTGGGGTTTTCATAAGCTGTACACCATAATCATCAAAACTATAACAAATAAAGGCTTGAAATATCTCACTTTGCATGTAATGAGTCTATATAATATATTAGTTTCAGCTTTTAAGTTGAATTACTGAAATAAATGAACTTTTGCACCTGTATATTGAGTATGTGTGACGGTAATAATAATGTTTATTTTATATAGCGCCTTTCAGAAAACTCTACAAGTACAAATAAACATGACTTAGAAACATGATAAAATGAGAAGGATAACATAATAGATAGTGGTACATAAACATAGAAATCAAGGGAAAGTAGCAAAAAGATATGTTTTAAGGTGGGTTTTGAAATCATGTAAAATTGTTAGACTGTAGAATTCCTGCTGTGTGTGTGTGTGTGTGTGTTGTTCAGGTGTGTGTCGCTAGAGGGCAACAGTCTGTTCCTGAGGGACGTGTCGGGGCCCGAGGAGCCGCTTCACACACTCATCACACACACACACTGTGTCAGCAACTGGGTTTCTGCCGAACTGGTCATCTGTGACTCGGTCAAGGTGATTCCTCAGAGTTTATTGAGCATTTTCAAATCATGGAAATGTTTATGAGTTAAACTGGGTTATGAATGTTCACAACAGAACAGTTTTGAAGCAAGGTTATTATGAGAATAGAGAATTAGATTTTAAACCGTGCAAGAACATGTCTGGGGAAATCAAAGAAATTATATAGATTTTTTTTTTCACTGTTTTCATGACAATATGGACTAATAATTCTCTAATATGCACATAAAGGAACATTTTAGTATACTTTTCATAAAGTCAGGTGTGTTTACGTAAGGGTTAATCCGCCGAAGTCCATTAATACCTGACGATGGACCCCTCGAGGGCCATTAACCCGCTTATACCACGGTCACTTGCCAAATAACACATTTTTAAAACATTAGTTTATATTTTAATTAGTTTTACAATCAAAATCTAAAGTTTTTACAAACAATAACTTGGTTTCCCTGGTTACGCCTGACGGTTTATTTAGCAAGCGGAGATATTTATAGTGCGCTCAGCTCGGAGAACCCTTCAGTTTAGCTCACTTACGAGCCAGAAAGCTAACGTATTTGTTTTCATGTAAGTTAGGCTTGTCTAGCCATGGCCGTTACACTTTGGGTTTTTTTTTTACCTATAATTAAAACACACTTTTAGGCGTAGTATAACGGCTAACTAGATGTTTGTTTTGATACCATAAATTGTCAACGGATACGTTGTCTGCCTGTTGCTATGGTTACTCACAGCTGATGTAAGTAACCATAGTAACGGTTACACACATCAGCGGTAAACAGTCGGTTTCACCAGAACTCCTTTACTAGGTGTCCTCTATCACTTTTTAATGGACACCCTGCAGCCAATCAGAATCGAGTATTCACCCAGATCATGGTGTAAATATATACATTTTATTTTCAGGCACAGGCAGCTTTACTCGCTCGGTTTCTTGCTGTTGGGAAGTTCTGCTACGAGACGAGAAACTTTGCCACCGCCATGCAGATTCTGTCGGGCCTGGAGAATGTGATTGTTAGGCAATTACCGGTAAGAAACGTAACCGCGCGTAATCCCTTTCTCTCTAAGTGATAAATGATCCCGCATTGAGAGAGTCATAACCTCATAAGCTCGACTGTATTTGCTGTTTTTGCTTTATCTTATCTGGCAGCTCCAGCAGCTGAAATGTTAATTGCATGTGCCTTTAAACTGATTAAACACTAACTCTATTTTTCAGCCTGTTTACGAGCATGAAAGGGTTATAATCGACATGCATTCGGCATTTTGTGCAGAAACAAAACAGTATTCATCATATTTGCCGTGAAATGAAATTGCATGATAAATGGGTTTTTATAAGTCTACTTATTCCCATCTTAATTAGTTTTACAGCATTTGTCCTGGTTTTGTTGTGTGTGTGTGTGTGTGTGTGTGTGTGTGTGTGTGTGTGTGTGTGTGTGTGTGTGTGTGTGTGTGTGTGTGTGTGTGTGTGTGTGTGTGTGTGTGTGTGTGTGTGTGTGTGTGTGTGTGTGTGTGTGTGTGTGTGTGTGTGTGTGTGTGTGTGTGTGTGTGTGTGTGTGTGTGTGTGTGTTTGTTGAGCGGCAGGCGTGGAAGCAGCTCTCGGGGAAAGTGTGTGAGGTTCTGGAGGAGCTCAGGGCTGTGCAGGTGAGACGCTCCAAGCTTCATTTATAAAGCACTTTAAAACAACCGAAGTGCTGGACAGAATAAAGAAACAACAAACACAAAATACATACTTTATGTAAAGCATATCATACAGATGAAACAAATCAGGAGAAAAAAAATAAAACTCACATCACTTGAATGTATTTTATAGCCCCCCCCCCCTCTTTAACTATTTATTGATTTTGAGTTATATTACTATATGCTCTGTAGCACTTTGAGAATTTTTTAGTTACTTTGCTGTGCAATACAAATAAAATGTATTATTATTATTATTATTATCACTTTCACTGACCTCGACACACACGCGAATGACATACCATACACGACGCACTATGCACTTATTATATTACTTTAAAATCATTATATACATTTAATAATGATAATATAACAAAAACTGCTTCACCACTATTTTATTTATTTTAATAACTTGTAATTATTTTAATCAAATTCTTAATTGCTACTATTATTACTATTACATATATATTTTAAATCATTATAATTATTATATAAAAAAAATATTATTATAATAAATATTATTATTTATTATTACGTATAATATTAATAATGACAACACTGCTTCACCACTATTTGTTTTAATTATTTTGATAATGTATTATTATTTTAAACAAACTCTTGATTGAACTCTTAATTGTTAATAATATTATATTGTTATTATTAATTAAATATAATATTAATAATAACAAAACTGCTTCATAGCTATTTGTATACATTTAATAATGATAATATAACAAAATGCTACACCTCTTTTTGTTTTATTTATTTAAATAACTTGTAATTATTTTAGACACATTCTTAATTGCTACTATTATTACTATTACATATATATATTTTAAATCATTATAATTGTTAATTATAATAAATATTATTATTATTTATTATCATGACATGCTTCACCACTATTTGTTTTAATTATTTTGATAATTTATTATTTTAAACAAACTCCTGATTGAACTCTTAATTGTTAATAATATTATATTGTTATTAAAACAATAATAATAAACTATTTAATCCCCCCCCCCCCATAATCTCCAGACAGTTACACCACCTACACATTGTTTACTTTATGTCCAGTTTAATATAAGCTAAATTAATTTTAAAACAGAATCTGAAAACATACTTATCATTAGAGATGAACTGAAGTCATTGTTTGTGTGGATTTTATTTTTAATATTGCTTTGAATAAATGAATGCATGCATTAAAGGGTTTAATTATGATCAGTTTATGCGTTCCCTGGGATCCGAACCATGACCTCGGTGTTGCGAGCACCGTCCTGTACCGTCCTGAGTCCCACAGATCCTGAAAGTGGGCTGTTGTTTCAGGTGTTTCTGAAGAGTGATAATCTGTGTCTGATGGAGGGATTGAAGCGTGGAGGGCGTCCGACTCTCCCAGACGCTCATATCTTCGCTCTGCACATTCAGCAACTGGAGATCGGCGCGTTCACCATGACCAGCGGATCCTACAAGTGGCCCAAACTGAGGTCTGATCCCTGCACATTTACAGTCACTGATGCGTCTAGCAGACGCTTGTGTCCCAAACAAGCGCGCCACACTAGTGCTGACAGTGAAGCCGAAGCGTCTCGATCGCCCCCCGGTGGCTGGACCCAGTATAGCTCATAAACCCCGCCTCCGTGTAGTCTAACGGGACGCGAATCAAATTACACTTCAAATACATTTTTTCCAATTATGTTTCCTATCAGTTTAGGTAGTTTTTATAATGGTGATGTAAATTCGAGTGTTCGTTTTTTGAAATACGTTTGGTATTGTGATAAACGGGAATGTGATAACATGATTGACGGCTGTGATTGACTTTTTGGGGATTTTCAGGAGGAGATTGAAGCTTCAACTTTGACATGAGTTGTTCTGCAGTAAACTGTACTAACGATTTCTGCGGGAGTGTGTGTGTAAGTGTGTGTGTGAGTGAGGACGGGACCTTGATATCGCGACTCCACACACACACACACACACTCACTACTGCGCAGAAGCAGGTCCCAAATCAGCGCAACATGTCAGCCCATATTAGGACTTTGGCGGCTTCACTTTTTCACCAATGAAGAGAGTGAAGGGGCGTCGTCCATCTTTGTTTTTACAGTCTATGGTCCCCACTGACATCACAACTCCACGTTATTTCAAACAAATTCAGGCCAAAACGAAGTTCGGTTCAAGAGTGCGCAACAGCTTGCCAAAGTAAACTTTCTGGAAAAGTGAATTCCGGATGTCAAACCCCTTCAAACTATCATTGGTCCGGATGGCGATGACATAATTGGTGGGCGTGGCTCTGAGGCTCCGCCTCCCTCTGGTTCATTTCTTCTGGTCGAGGTCAGACGCGAGTTAAAACATAAAACATGTTGCTCTGTATATCGATAGAAAAACTTATTTTAAACTTCTTTTTAACTTTAAAAGTGCATTGTGTAATATTTAGGAGGATCTGCTGACAGAAATGCAGTATCATATACATAACTATGTTTTCAGTGGTGTATAAAGACCTACCTTAATGAACCGTTGTGTTTATTAGCTTAGAATGAATCGAAATGTTTCTACGGTGGCCCTAAAAGGACAAACGCGCTTCGTCACTGTGTTGTTCTTAATGATAAGAAGCTGCTAAACTCAGCGAATAAAACACTGGCACAATGATGAACAAGTAACAATAATATTCGCAATAACATCGTTTTACTGAGTAATTAAGTAAACCTGATTTTTTTATTTATCTTTGTAAGGAAACCTCATTGTTTAACTGGCTACTCTCTGCTGTCTCAGAAGACGACATCACTTCCTGTCGGCCACCATAACTTCTGTTGGGTGCAATTCGCAACCTCACCACTAGATGCCGCTAGAATTACACACTGCACCTTTAAGCAAAGAATGAAAAAGAACTTGAGTATATCAGGGCTTTACATATTACTACACAACACACACACACACACACACACACACACACACGTGCACTGCAGGAGAGACAGCTGCCGAGGGCAAAGGTCACGGACAGTCAGATGTGGCGGTAATGACGCAGCTGGTGATGCTGCATGCTGGTGTGTGTGTGTGTGTGTGTGTGTGTGTGTGTGTGTGGAGCAGATGGTGTGTGATTGGAAATGCTTTGCCCGGGGACACGAGTCGATGCCAGGAGCCGTAAGGCTGCTTCTGTAGCAGATTCTGAGGTGGACACACACATGGTTGTTGTACATCTGTAGCTCACCGCGCACAGAATCAGGTCACTCGCACACACACACACACACACACACAAACACACACATTTAAGCAGAAGAAATTAATGTTTGTCTGGAATTAAACTCACTCTAGTCGTGTTTCCATTACATATTTGCGCAAAACTTTTGCGATATTTTCTAAATGTGGATAAAAATGATTCCTCTCGCAATAAGTCATTCCAACAATTATTGCAACGGATGTTATAGGTTTACATATATTCCAGCCAGCACTAGACATTATTATGAATGGAAGGAGACGTACAGTAGGTGTGTTATCCCGGCATTAATAACAAGGAAAGCCTCTTATACTGAGAGCGGCTCATATGAGGAGTTTCTGGGTGTTTCTCATTTCTGCTTCAAGATCTTGATAAACTGTGGCGTTTCTTTGAGGTTTAGAATCCAGTATTCCTGTAATTATTTTAACTTTTATGAGTTTAGTAAATAACTCTGTCTCGTCTTCTGTCCAAACACACCGTTTCTTCTACGTCATGTGACTGTAAATGCCGAATCGCCTGAAAAACTGAAAATTGAGTTCACATAAAAACTGTTTTGCAATATATGGGAGTTTTTGTGAAATTGACGTGTTTCCATTGGGCGTATTTTCAATTCAATTTCAAATTGCGCAATTTGAAGGGTAATGGAAACGCGGCTTGTGATGATTTATGTTTTGAATTATGAATTGATATACTTAAGGCAAAGTACTTTTTCGTTTTTCTCTTAGGGGTAAAAAGAAGTTTGAAATACGTGACTAGCGAACATGTAGATATGTGCAGCGCTCTTTCCTCTCAATAACAAAATAAACATGCAATGAGAAACAGCATGTGATCATAGCTCGTGTGTTTGGCTGTTCGGATGTTTGCAGCAATTCAGCACTGTCATGTCACGATTATTTATATAGCACTTATAGAAATATCATAATAGATTGCTATAAACATGAAAAAACTGTCTGTGTCACTTTCAAATAGAATTACAGCTTCAGTTTCTACTATAAAGCTATTCGTGTCTGACCTCGACGGACTGCACAGAAGAAATGAACCGGAGAAGATTTACACCTCAAAACACACACACACACACACACACTCAAACACACACACACACTCACACACTCACACACACACACACACACACACTCACACTCACACACACTCTCACACACACACACACACTCACACACACTCACACACACACACACTCACACACACACACTCTCACTCACACACACTCTCACACACACACACACACACACACACACACTCTCACACACACACACTCACACACACACACTCACACTCACACACACTCTCACACTCACACACACTCACACACACACACACTCACACACACACACTCACACTCACACACACTCACACTCACACACACACACACACACACACTCACACTCACACACACTCTCACACACACACACTCACACTCACACACACTCACACACACACACACACACACACACACTCTCACTCACACACACTCTCACACACACACACACACACACACACACACACTCTCACACACACACACACACACACACTCACACTCACACACACCTTTTAGGTCATTGCCATCCGGAGCAATGGGGTTTCTAAGGTGTTTACTAGTTCGTTATTATTATTACTACTGCTTTTAGTATTAGTATTATGACTAAAAAAATAGAAAATATATAATATATTTAAAAAACTAAATAAGAAATATTTCACTGTAAAATAAAAGTGGAGTATTTAGGAAAAGTAATATAATAAGAATAATTTTATTTGACATTACGACTGTAAAATTATAATATTGCTTTTTATTATTGCTATTATTGTTACACATTATTACAAAATAAAATATAAAAAATACTACATAGAATCAAATAAAATCATATTCCCTGAAAATGAAAAAAAGAGTATGATTATTTAAGAAAAGTAATATAATAATAAGTAATAATGTTATTTTACATTACAACTTTAAAATTACAATTATAATATATTTGTCTGTCTTTATTTCTTTGTCTGTCATTTTCAAACGTTAAACAATCAAGCTTTTATTTTGGCAGGTTGCCCTTAAAGCTTCTCTTGTGTTTATTCTTATTAAAGTTTGTGCAGATAATTGATCCATGCATTTTCTGTAAAGTTGCTTTGAAACAATTTGTGTTGTGAAAAGCGCTATACAAATAAATGTGAATTAAATTGAATTATAAATTACCCAAACTCACAGCAGATGCAGAGATGAGTTGGTGTGGAGCAGCGTTTACTTTATTTTATGTTTTGCTGTATGGGTTTTATTCTGATAATGTTTGTACGGCACTTTGGTAAATAAACTTTCAGTTCAGATGAGTTGAGTTCAGATGAGTTGAGTTCAGATGAGTTGAGTTCAGATGAGTTGAGTTCAGATGAGTTGAGTTCAGATGAGTTGAGTTCAGATGAGTTGAGTTCAGATGAGTTGAGTTCAGATGAGTTGAGTTCAGATGAGTTGAGTTCAGATGAGTTGAGTTCAGATGAGTTGAGTTCAGATGAGTTGAGTTCAGTTCAGTTGAACTTGAGTTGAGTTCAGATGAGTTCAGTTGAGTTCAGTTGAGTTGAGTTGAGTTCAGATGAGTTCAGTTCAAATGAGTGTAGTTGAGTTGAGATCAGTTCGGATGAGTTGAGTTCGGATGAGTTGAGTTCGGATGAGTTGAGTTCGGATGAGTTGAGTTCGGATGAGTTGAGTTCGGATGAGTTGAGTTCGGATGAGTTGAGTTCGGATGAGTTGAGTTCGGATGAGTTGAGTTCGGATGAGTTGAGTTCGGATGAGTTGAGTTCGGATGAGTTGAGTTCGGATGAGTTGAGTTGAGTTCGGATGAGTTGAGTTGAGTTCGGATGAGTTGAGTTGAGTTCGGATGAGTTGAGTTCGGATGAGTTGAGTTGAGATCGGATGAGTTGAAGTTGAGATCGGATGAGTTGAAGTTGAGTTCGGATGAGTTGAAGTTGAGTTCGGATGAGTTGAAGTTGAGTTCGGATGAGTTGAAGTTGAGTTCGGATGAGTTGAAGTTGAGTTCGGATGAGTTGAAGTTGAGTTCGGATGAGTTGAAGTTGAGTTCGGATGAGTTGAGTTCGGATGAGTTGAGTTCGGATGAGTTGAGTTCGGATGAGTTGAGTTCGGATGAGTTGAGTTCGGATGAGTTGAGTTCGGATGAGTTGAGTTCGGATGAGTTGAGTTCAGATGAGTTGAGTTCAGATGAGTTGAGTTCAGATGAGTTGAGTTCAGATGAGTTGAGTTCAGATGAGTTGAGTTCAGATGAGTTGAGTTCAGATGAGTTGAGTTCAGATGAGTTGAGTTCAGATGAGTTGAGTTCAGATGAGTTGAGTTCAGATGAGTTGAGTTCAGATGAGTTGAGTTCAGTTCAGTTGAACTTGAGTTGAGTTCAGATGAGTTCAGTTGAGTTCAGTTGAGTTGAGTTGAGTTCAGATGAGTTCAGTTCAGTTCAAATGAGTGTAGTTGAGTTGAGATCAGTTCAATTGAGTTCGGATGAGTTGAGTTCAGATGAGTTGAGTTCAGATGAGTTGAGTTCAGATGAGTTGAGTTCAGATGAGTTGAGTTCAGATGAGTTGAGTTCAGATGAGTTGAGTTCAGATGAGTTGAGTTCAGATGAGTTGAGTTCAGATGAGTTGAGTTCAGATGAGTTGAGTTCAGATGAGTTGAGTTCAGATGAGTTGAGTTCAGATGAGTTGAGTTCAGATGAGTTCAGTTCAGATGAGTTGAGTTCAGATGAGTTTAGTTGAGTTCAGATGAGTTTAGTTGAGTTCAGATGAGTTGTGTTGAGTTCAGATGAGTTGTGTTGAGTTCAGATGAGTTGTGTTGAGTTCGGATGAGTTGAGTTCGGATGAGTTGAGTTCGGATGAGTTGAGTTGAGTTCGGATGAGTTGAGTTCGGATGAGTTGAGTTGAGTTCGGATGAGTTGAGTTCGGATGAGTTGAGTTCGGATGAGTTGAGTTGAGTTCGGATGAGTTGAGTTGAGATCGGATGAGTTGAGTTGAGTTCGGATGAGTTGAGTTGAGTTCGGATGAGTTGAAGTTGAGTTCGGATGAGTTGAAGTTGAGTTCGGATGAGTTGAAGTTGAGTTCGGATGAGTTGAGTTCGGATGAGTTGAGTTCGGATGAGTTGAGATCGGATGAGTTGAGTTGAGTTCGGATGAGTTGAGTTGAGTTCGGATGAGTTGAGTTGAGTTGAGTTCGGATGAGTTGAGTTGAGTTGAGTTCGGATGAGTTGAAGTTGAGTTCGGATGAGTTGAAGTTGAGTTCGGATGAGTTGAGTTCGGATGAGTTGAGTTCGGATGAGTTGAGTTCGGATGAGTTGAGTTCGGATGAGTTGAGTTCGGATGAGTTGAGTTCGGATGAGTTGAGTTCGGATGAGTTGAGTTCGGATGAGTTGAGTTCGGATGAGTTGAGTTCGGATGAGTTGAGTTCGGATGAGTTGAGTTCGGATGAGTTGAGTTCGGATGAGTTGAGTTCGGATGAGTTGAGTTCGGATGAGTTGAGTTCGGATGAGTTGAGTTCGGATGAGTTGAGTTCGGATGAGTTGAGTTCGGATGAGTTGAGTTCGGATGAGTTGAGTTCGGATGAGTTGAGTTCGGATGAGTTGAGTTCGGATGATTTGAGTTCGGATGAGTTGAGTTCGGATGAGTTGAGTTCGGATTCGGATGAGTTGAGTTCGGATTCGGATGAGTTGAGTTCGGATGAGTTGAGTTCGGATGAGTTGAGTTCGGATGAGTTGAGTTCGGATTCGGATGAGTTGAGTTCGGATGAGTTGAGTTCGGATGAGTTGAGTTCGGATGAGTTGAGTTCGGATGAGTTGAGTTCGGATGAGTTGAGTTCGGATGAGTTGAGTTCGGATGAGTTGAGTTTGGATGAGTTGAGTTTGGATGAGTTGAGTTTGGATGAGTTGAGTTCGGATGAGTTGAGTTCGGATGAGTTGAGTTCGGATGAGTTGAGTTCGGATGAGTTGAGTTCGGATGAGTTGAGTTCGGATGAGTTGAGTTCGGATGAGTTGAGTTCGGATGAGTTGAGTTCGGATGAGTTGAGTTCGGATGAGTTGAGTTCGGATGAGTTGAGTTCGGATGAGTTGAGTTCGGATGAGTTGAGTTGAGTTCGGATGAGTTGAGTTGAGTTCGGATGAGTTGAGTTGAGTTCGGATGAGTTGAGTTGAGTTCGGATGAGTTGAGTTGAGTTCGGATGAGTTGAGTTGAGTTCGGATGAGTTGAGTTGAGTTCGGATGAGTTGAGTTGAGTTCGGATGAGTTGAGTTGAGTTCGGATGAGTTGAGTTGAGTTCGGATGAGTTGAGTTGAGTTCGGATGAGTTGAGTTGAGTTCGGATGAGTTGAGTTGAGTTCGGATGAGTTGAGTTGAGTTCGGATGAGTTGAGTTGAGTTCGGATGAGTTGAGTTGAGTTCGGATGAGTTGAGTTGAGTTCGGATGAGTTGAGTTGAGTTCGGATGAGTTGAGTTGAGTTCGGATGAGTTGAGTTGAGTTCGGATGAGTTGAGTTGAGTTCGGATGAGTTGAGTTGAGTTCGGATGAGTTGAGTTGAGTTCGGATGAGTTGAGTTGAGTTCGGATGAGTTGAGTTGAGTTCGGATGAGTTGAGTTGAGTTCGGATGAGTTGAGTTGAGTTCGGATGAGTTGAGTTGAGTTCGGATGAGTTGAGTTGAGTTCGGATGAGTTGAGTTGAGTTCGGATGAGTTGAGTTCGGATGAGTTGAGTTCGGATGAGTTGAGTTCGGATGAGTTGAGTTCGGATGAGTTGAGTTCGGATGAGTTGAGTTCGGATGAGTTGAGTTCGGATGAGTTGAGTTTGGATGAGTTGAGTTCGGATGAGTTGAGTTGTGTTGAGTTCAGATGAGATCATGAACTGCACATGTGTAAATGAAAACAATGCAACGCATCACTCTGAAACACACAGTGCTTATATTGATCTAACTAAATGCAGTCTTTGCCTTTTCATGATCACACTAAAACATGGTTGTTTTCTTAGACCGTTGCTCTGGCATCTAGAGCCGAGTCCTGTGACGAGTCTTGTTGTGCTTCTCTCCTGTTCTCAGGAACATTGCGCGTGTGGTCAGTCAGATCCATGCGTTTCAGGAGCATCTCTATTCCCACTCTCCCGACCTCGAGCTTCAGGCGTTCCTGCGCGAGCGAATCGCTCGATTCAGCGAGTGTGACGTTCCTCTCCTCGCCTCACACAACGATGCCAACTTCATCCAGACGGCCAGCGACCGATACACACACCGGATCCAGGACACACTGCGCAGGGTCAAAGCCTCGTTCCAGTGAGAGAACGCGGTCCTGAACCCACACACACACACAGATGTGGACGCTGGAAGACGATGAACTGAACCAACACACACACACACAGAGATGTGGACGCTGACAGAGGCTGTACTGAACCGACACGCACGCACACACACACACACACACACACACAGATGTGGACACTTACAGAGACTGTACTGAACACACACACTCTCACAGAGATGTGGACGCTGAGAGAGGCTGTACTGAACCGACACACACACACACACACACACACACTCTCACACACACACACAGATGTGGACGCTGGAAGACGATGAACTGAACCGACACACACACACAGAGATGTGGACGCTGAGAGAGGCTGTACTGAACCGACACACACACACACAGAGATGTGGACGCTGACAGAGGCTGTACTGAACCGACACACACACACACACACACACACACACACACACACACACACACAGATGTGGACACTTACAGAGACTGTACTGAACACACACACTCTCACACAGATGTGGACGCTGAGAGAGGCTGTACTGAACCGACACACACACACACACACACTCTCACACACACACACAGATGTGGACACTTACAGAGGCTGTACTGAACCGACACACACACACACACACACACACACACACACACACACACACAGAGATGTGGACGCTGAGAGAGGCTGTACTGAACCGACACGCACACACACACACACACACACTCTCACACACACACACCAGTTTCTGTTTGATGAATGGGTGATTCTCTAGTGAAGACACTTTAAAGAACAAACACTTTCATCTTTTGTGTTCAGCTACACAACCAAATAATGTATTTATAGATTTATTGATGAAAATTATTGAGAAATTATTACATTTTAGATAAGATTCAACTGTTTGAAATCGAAGTAGCCTAATACATTATAAACGCCTCCAGAGAATAGAGAAAAGTATTATAGCCTACTTTTAAAAATAGACTATATTTCTACACCGTGGTAAACTAATCTTAGAAAATTGCAATATTTTGTGCATAAATTTCAATTTAACTTGTTATATTTGCATCGCTACTTTTTGTAATGTTCTTTAAATTGAGACACTTTTGTAATTTCTGTGTTAAAGTTCATGTACACATTATCATGCATGTTTCTCATTAGAATTGAGTTCAGCTCGCTCACTCGAAGTGAAAATCATTTCTGCCGCTGTACTTTAAAGAGAACCTATTATGCCCTTTTTCAAAGTGTTGATTCTGTTTTTGAGCTCTAGAACACGTTTTAATGCTTGAATGTTCAAAAAACACATTATTATTTCCATATATCCGCGTCTCTTCTCAGTCTGTCAGTAACGCTCTGTTTACTTCCTGTCTCTCTGAAGCCCCTCCTCCTGAAAGGCACACTGTGCTCTGATTGGTCGGCTGGATCAGTGTGTTGTGATTGGTCGAGCGCTTGAGTGTGTTTGGGAAATGTCCCGCCCCTTTCCATAACCGCCAGTTTAACACACTACTAACTAACTCAACCAGGCCCCGCCCCTTTATTCTGCGCATTAATTATTATAATGAGGAAGAGATATAGAGATTAATTCATTTTTCATGCTCAAACAGCAACATTACACACTAGAGAGAGATTACAGTATAATAGGTCCTCTTTATTATTAATGAGGGTTTGGTGTTTGTCTGGCTCCTGATCTTTAGAAATGACTTTTGTTAATGTCACTTTAAATAAAAGCATGGTTAAACAAATACATGTAAATATAATTGATGTTGATTCCAGGTTTCAGTCTATAAACAATATTTTTAACTTGAATAAAATGTAGATGTTATCTCACGAAGCACGTTGTTTACAGTGCGTGATTATGAATTATATAAGTGTTAATAGCCCTTTAAACAGGTATAGACCTAATAAAATTGCATTGCATTGAATGAAGAACTTCTTAATTTAATACAGTGTTTTTTCCAGACGTGCAATTCACCATCTCGGTGTTGACCTTTGACCTGTAGTATATTCTTTGAGCTTTGATAACTAAAAATCTCTCAGTTCTCGGCAATTTTACAGCCATTGAAATCTGATGAAAATCGCTCAAAACTGCAAATAAAAAAAATCTAAACTTAACAAAATAGCTCTCAATGGACATACTGGATTTGAACGTCTTTTTAATACAAAAAGCATCATCATTCACAGTGCGAGTGCTTTTTGTTTGTTTTGTTTTTTGCTTTAAACGTTTTCTTTAAAACCATCAGATCTGGTGACTGTCTGACCATTAAACGAGATTCATTGTTTCCAGATCTTCACAGATCTAGATCTACTCTCTTCTTGGATTTGTTTCGTGGTCTCACGCGGAGGCGAGGAAACGCGCGCCCCGGAGGCGCAGTGTGCGTGCGGCGCGCGGCCGATCCTCCTCATTGTTCCGTAACGGATCAAAGCGCTCGAGATAAAGGCTTTAATTGCGAGTCAAAGAGCTCGAGCTCCTGCACTATAGATCAGTGATAAAGGACATAGTCAACATGCCGTTATCGCCATTGTCCAGCTAAACGATCCTTTCAAAGCCTCGTCTCATTCAAATACAGTCCGATAAGAAGAAACCCCTGATTAACTGTTGCGAACATGCGTCACGTGACATTACTGAGGATTTATCACGAATATTATTGAATCACGATCTGTCTTGTTTGATCATGAAACTTCAAATAAACAAATTATATGAAGACTTTTGAATTGATTTGTTATTGCATTGCTAAATCATCATATGCAAGTAGGCTATCTAAAAACAACTGATTTTCGGATTGCCTTATTGCGTGGTAAAAATTAAGGTTTACATCGTTAAACGGCATGTAACATAGGCATATGTGCATATTTTGCATATGCATAATTAAAATTGAGTTCATTCTAAAATAAATAGGCCTGAATCAAATGCAAGTAAAGTGTTGCACGGTTTTCGGTAGGTGCCATAGATATGTTCGCTGTCCTGAGTCTCTGGGCTTCAGCTTGTCCGGGTGTGAATTAGCATCTGAACTGCTGGTCAATCACAGTTAATTGTGTTGCTACTGTAACGCCTTTGATCCGGGATGTTTGCGGCGCGGCGCCAGAGACTCTGCGGGACACCCGCGTGTGTTAATGCGCGCCATTTGAGCCCAGTGACGTCAGAGACACATCACACGACACATTACTGTACGAAGAGAAACTACACATTTTGTGTTTTTTTCTTCTTCAATGTTTGAGTAATTGAAAAAAAAAAATGATGAAGCAATAAGTAAAAAAAAATATATTTTCCCACTGATGTCAGAGTAACGCCATAAAACCCCTAAAATGTTATTTAGAGGCTGATATATGAGAAAAGTTCGTCAAATGCCAGAATGTAGGAGCAGATATAAAATAAACAAGTGTTGAAAAAATAAACAGCATTTTTATTGTCCTTATTTATGTTTTTATTTTATATGCTATTTGGAACCTGTGACACTTTTTACAGGATTCATTGATAAATACAAAGTTAAAAAGGACAGCATTTATTCAAAATAGAAATGTTGATTTAAAACGCCATTACTGAATAAAAAAAAGAAAATAATTACTGAACCAAAACTTTTGATCAATAGCGCATATATTGTTACAAAAGATAAATAAAAGTCATTCTTTTAAAAAAACTTTTTATTCATCAAATCCTGAAAAAAGTATCACAGGTTATAAAAAAAATATGAAGCAGCTCAACTGTTTCCAACATTGATAATAAATCCTCATATTAGAGTGATTTCTGAAGGATCATGTGACACTGAAGACTGGAGTAATGATGCTGAAAATTCAGCTTTGATCACAGGAATAAATTACACTTTACTGTATATTCACATAGAAAACAGATGATTTACATTACAATAATATTTCACTATTTTTACTGTATTTTGATCAAATAAATGCAGTATTGATGAACACAGGAGACTTCTTTCAAACACTTTAAAAATAGTAATGTTTCCAAACTTTTGACCAATGTGCATGTAAATATATTATATAATATAAAAATATATCCGTTTCAGCTTGTCATTTGCGTTTCTCTCGTTTACTCTGGAAGTTTCCTGCATTATTACCTCTGCAGTTTCCCTCTCCACATCCAGTTGTTCTGCCACTCCATGTGTGTGTGAAGAGGATGCAGACATCTGGATGAGCCAGAGGTTCTCACAGACAAGCTGGCGCCAGGCTTTCACACAATCACAGGATATGTAAAGACTTCAATAACGAGCCATTAGGCCTAATGATTGAGAATCGATCAGGCGTTAACTCCTGCATGCATATGTTAATGTGACGCCGGGACGCGCCATATATATGCCCTGCGCTTCTGGAGGCCTGGAAACACTCTTGGATTTACTCGGATAGATCCACTTCCTCTGCTCTCGGAGAACACACACACACACAGCGATCATGGTGAAGATGTTTTCTGTGGACTGGCTCGCTCAAAGCTTCCATGATTCGACTCCTCAAGCGGTTCTGGAGCCGGAGAAAAGGACGCACAGGCCTCATGTGCCGTGTGTGGTTCAACCCAGACCTCCAACATCATACGACAAGGTTTATCTGCAACCAAAACCAAAGCTTACAAAAGCTGAGCAGAAGCCAGAATCCTCAAAGGAGACCATAACTCCGGTTGCACCAAGAAACTGCTCATCTCCAAGCTGTAAGTACTCGATAATTAATGTGCGTTCGACTCATTTAATGCATGCAATCCATGCATACGATTCTATTAAGGGTATATAACTAACGATGTATTGTATTTGATTCAGTTTCAGAAAACAGTGGTTATTCGTCTGGTTATGAGAGTGAAGCAGCCGCGTCTGAATGCGCGTCCGTCGATGATGGAAACGACGGTGCGACGCGCAGAATCAGAACTAAATTCACACCGGGACAGATCGACAAACTGGAGAAAATCTTCAACAAGCACAAATATCTGGATGCGGGAGAGAGAGTGAAAACTGCGCTGAAGCTCGGTCTGTCAGAAACACAGGTGAGACACGTGTGCGCGCATCTAACTTTATTCTCGTAACGTGAAACACACTCTCCAAATGCATGATGTGAACATTAACAGTGGAACATATTTTTTAAATGCGCGTGTGCTTTTGTTCTTCAGGTCCGAACCTGGTTCCAGAACCGCAGGATGAAGCTGAAGCGCGAGGTCCAGGAGATGCGCGCGGACTATATGCTGCCTCCCGTGGTTCTTCCGCACGTGCACGCGCTTCAGTACCACTGCTTCGACCGACAGCGACTTCCGTTTCCTCCTCACGGGCCTTTGATGCATCAGCAGCACGTGATCCCACATCTTCCTCATCATCATCATCATCATCCTCATCATCACCTCATGATGCCAAGGCAACATTACTACTGAAGACTCTTTCCTTTAAAACACTTATATCACATCCGGTGTGCAATATCTGTACAGTTTGTTAAAAAAAAAAACTGGTTTAACTAAAAAAGAAGAGTTTATTTATGATCAGAAATAAAGTATGTTTTATGCACAAAGTGTTTGTTCGTGTTTTACAAGCTTAAAGTTGTTATAGAAGTGATTAGATGTGAGTGATTTAAGAGTTTTCTTGAATCATTCCACATGAGCTAAAGTCATTTAGTGAGCATCTTGGTCATCACAACCAAGTTTTTAAGGCTCAAGTGTGGCAATATCTCATGCATAAAACATTACAAATTGTCAATGCGTGAGATGTTTTGTTTAGACCTAAAATATAAAGAAAAATATTCTCTTTTTAAACAGTACTAATTTTAAAAATAAAGAAAGCGGTAGATTATATTAGTGACTATACACTCTCAGAAAAAAGGTAAAAGCTGTCACCGGGGTGGAACCCTTTCATATGTACATATTAGTACCTAAAGTGTGCATATTAATATCTCAAAGGTACATATTGGTACCAATAGTGTACATATTAGTACCTTTTGAAAGGGTACCGTCCCAGTGACAGATGTTGTACCTTTATGATGTAAGTTTCACATGCATGAAAAAGCATAGATAAACTTGAAAAAAATCAAGGTTCAAATTATAACAAGATGGTTTGACCCCGTTTTAGAGCTTTTTATTGTCTTGCTTAAAAAACCTACACAGAAACCCAATGCACATCATAGATGTTTATATCCAATCCAAATAACAATATGCATCTTTTCTCTAAATGTGCTGCATTAGCCCTAAGTGTTTAGACGAGCACAAATGGCATCATGTTTTCTCTAAACGCTTAGGGCTAATGCACCACATTTAGAGAAAAGATGCATATTGTTATTTGGATATAAACATATATGATGTACATTGGGTGTCTGTGTAGGTTTTTAAGCTAGACAATAAAGAGGATATTAAGGAGGATCTACAATAAAATGAGTTAAATCAAATGTAGGCGCCAAAGAAACCCTAAAGAAACCAGGCCAGGCTCTTGATCCTCACAGGACCCGCTGTGCTTTCATATGCGCGTCACCTCAGTGTGTGTGTGTGTGTGTTTGTGTCCGCGACACTTCAAACGAGACCTAACGAGCAGATCATGCTCGACAATTAGTCCTAATTAAGTCACCCATTGATGAGTTTACACTCTCCCCATAATCCCCGACAGACTGGCTCCATCATGTCTGGGTTGTGTGTGTGTGTGTGTGTGTGTGTGTGTGTGTGTGTGTCAGCCTGATGTCAGGAAATGCGTCTCTATAGAACGCATTGTGTTTATCGTGCAATTTATATGCTGAAATGAGTTTTTACGTGCATATGACACGCAGTTTTCGCGTGCATATGATCCGCACTTACACACATTATTGCGTCTAATCCGCACGCACCCCACACCACTAACCCTACCCGGGGGGTTACAGTGCGTATCATATGCCCATTTTCGCGTATAAATTGCACGATAAACACAATGCGTGCTATACAGGCGCGCGCGAGTGTGTGTGTGTGCGTGCACGCTGTAGTGTGTGTGTGGTCCTGGTATTCCCCACTTTATTGGGACCAAATGTCCCCCTGGATATATCGCAACACTAGCAACACTTTGACCTCGTGCTCGTGGGGACATGTTTTGGTCCCCATAAGGAAAACAGCTTATAAATCATACAGAATGAGTTTTTTTGAAAATGTAAAAATTCAGAAAGTTTTGTGTGATGGATAAGTTCAGGTCTGCATAAAACATGAGTGTTTGGGTGAGTGTGTGTGCGATAGAGAGTGTGTGTGTCTGTGTGTGCGCGTGTGTGCGCGCGCGTGCGTGCATGTGCGGCCCCGCGCTCCTGAGTGCATGTTTAAGTTCACATTAGCCATTTTGTTCCATGTCAGTATTTATTGTTCGCCCTTTTATATCAGCCTCATGATAACATTAAAACGAACTGGTTACTGAAGGCCAGTCGAGGTTAATAACTTGTGATCATTTTGCAAGATCAATCATACAATCATGTCATTATTTCATCCCATCATTAAGGCATATCTCACAACAAGTCTTTTTAATACAACCCAACATATGTGTTTACTTTGGATCAGCAAAGACTTGTGTTTCCTTTTTCTTTCTTTTTTTGAAGTTGCATTAGGTTCTTCAGATGATTTATTGATGAATGAAGTCATACTGTACACTGCAAAAAATAATTTTTATTTAGTTGCAAGTATTCGAGACTAGAGCGTTTTACAGGATAATACTATTTAATTTTTAAGTGTTACTTGCCATTTCTCCGTTATTTGTGCAATTTACTAAAGGAAATCCTAAACCATTTTTTTCAGTGTATTGCAACCCAAAACTGTATGTTTAATTAAACGAAACCTATTTGCATGCAGTAGCCTATATATCATTGGTTTTTATACATTTATATTCTTGAACCAGCTGAAACGGCCAGTTTTAAAGCGCAAACTCGAGGTTTGTGAGGCGCCAGAGACGCATCTGAATTCTTGCCATTAGACATTAAACGCGTTTCTCTTTTCCTCTCGCTCAGATCATACACTCTTTACTGCAGGAGCTGGAGGAGAAACACACTCAGGTTATGAGAGCGAGACTGTATTCTTCTGCAAAAGACAATATTCCACAGAGCCATGGTGAAAAACGCATTTAATGATTTAATGCAATATACATTGCCGGTCGATCAGAATTTGCATAGATTGGACAGATTGAACTAAAATGGGGATCAAGACTTAATCCGACTGTAAGTAAAACAATGATCCACCCAAAAGCCACGACACTCTTTCATCTTCACATTATCTGTCGATGGATTATGTCTTGTCTTGAGTGGATGACCATTGATTGTATCAGTGCGTTGATTATTCATCAGATCTTCGGGTACTTGAGGTGCTCAGACTCGCTGGCGCCTGGATATCACAAGTGCTCTGGACGTGTGAACAAGCCCATTGCGACATATATTAGCTTCAATTACAGAGTTATAATTCCGCCGAGAGTCTCTTTACTCATGCAAATGAGCGCGCGCCTCCTGCATAAAGTCCGAGAGGAACTTCAGCTCATCGAGTGTGTTTAGGAGGAAACATCATGTCCAAGAACTTCTCCGTGGAGTGGTTGTCCCAGAGTTTCCATGCTCAACATTTGGCGCAAAAACCATGTGATGCATCTTCAGAAACACTGCATCTGATTGGAGAAGTAGAGAACAAGGCCCCGACTTCCCCCACAAGTAAGTACTTTCTCTCTCTCATGAAAATGCGTCTCTATTATTGCACGCATTGTGTTTATCGTGCGATTTATACGCAAAAAATGATATTGCATGTAATACACAGGCACCCCACCACACCACTACTAATCCTACCCAAGGGGTTTACAGTGCGTATCATATTAACGTAAAACTCATTTCCGCGTAGCTATACATTGCACGATAAAGCCTACACAATGCGTGCTATAGAGACGCATTTACTGTGACCGTGCTATCCGTTTTGAAATGCATCTTACATGTTCTTCCCATCACATCAGATAGTTGTGGGTACACATCTGCCTCTGAGAGTGATGATGTCGCTGATGACAGTGAAGGAGAATCCGGTGCGCGCCGCCGCGCCAGAACCAAGTTCACCTCCGAGCAGGTCGCGCGCCTGGAGAAGAGCTTCAGCAAACACAAATATCTCGGAGCGACTCAGAGACGCAAGATAGCAGAGAAGCTGCATCTGTCTGAAACACAGGTATGCATGAGAGAAGGTGACATGTTATGCATGAACACAGCAGTTTAAACATGCATCTGTCACATGCACTCCAGAACTATGAGTCAGCGCATGCGTGTTTTAGTGTTGGATGTTTAGATGTGTGTTAGGCCCTAAACTTTGGAACAAGCTTCAGTTTCATGTCAGGTTTTGAAAACACAGTTTGGGCTATACATTTCTATATTAATTCGTTATTTAATTAATTAATTGTATTTTGCATAAACATAAAAACATTAGTTTAATTATTTGCATTTTTTGCTATTAATATGCTTATTTGACATCTCACTATAATATTGGTAAGACTGGAATAAGTCAACTATTTTAAAATGTGTGTGTGTGTATCTATATTTTTTAAAGTTGAAATTGACATGCTAAATAAAAATTATGATCACTGTGAAAGGCTAAAAGTATGACCTTTAAAGTCATATTACACAAAAAAAACATAATTTGTAGTTTTTAATCTCATAAGTATTACATGGTTATGACTTGGTATGTTCATAATTATGTCATACTATTTCATATAAGTCACAGTTATGACATATAGGCATGTTTGTTATTGAGTATTGTGATTGAATGTGTATTGCACTTTGGTTCAACTCCTCCTGTTTGTTTTCAAATGTGCTTTTTGAGAATTAAATGCAAAATTTTCGAAGTTGATATTTATGTTAGTATGTTTCATCTTTAGGTGAAAACATGGTTCCAGAACAGACGGATGAAGCTGAAGCGGGAAGTTCAGGACATGCGCGCTGCCGAGTTTCTTGTGCCGACATTTCTTCCACCTGTGACGTCATTTCAGCACCACGCCACGAGCGGACAGCGCGCGCGCCTGTATTACCCCGCGCGTGCACTGCAGCAGCGCGTCCACCCGGTGCTGTTCGCGCCCTGTTACTTTTAAACATTTTCTTTGATTTTAAATGATCTGATCTGTAATCTAGAATCTAGATGTGATATATAAAAAACAAGCACTGTATGTAGTTCTATACATAACAAATCTACATGTATGTACATAAATAAATATTGCCTTTACGCACAACCTGAAGAAAATAAAACAAATAATGCTTTGACCCTATCAGGCTTTTTGCAGTAATTTTAATTATTTATCAGACGGGTCTATACACTAATGTTATTTAATTGCTTAATAAAGGATAATATGACATCAATCAAATGGTGGACACCAATCAAACCGTTTTATTAAATGTATGTATTATTATTATGTTATCTTATATTCAATCATCAAAATGTAAACATTGATGTAGCCTATGCAGTGATTATATAATCAACGTCATTTGATAGTGACTGAAATGCCTACATTGCACATACCCTGGTGGTTTAGTGTGATTTGGACACTTTTTCCAGATCCTCTCAATGTCATAAAGTGCCACAATAAAGCTGAATCCACTGGACACTTAATCACAGTGCACTTGTTTTTGATTATCGAACCCTCTATGTTTTATGTGTTTGAACTGTAAGATCTGGAGCCTCGTTTATAAAATGTTGCGTAAAGAACCCGTCCTACATTTGATCTTACGATCATTTCTCACATGCGCGTACGAACATACGCACAAAAAGCGCGCGTACGCACGTATGAAAGTTGGCGAGCGCGGATTTAGCGTACGTACGCACGCTCTAAGTTCAAATATGTGCGTGTGCACGTTTAATAAATGAGGCCCCTGGTCTCTGGCAGCCCGATCTCTTCCTCTCAAGAATCGTATTTATCGTGCAAATTATACGCAAAAAAAAAAAAGTTTTTCCGTGCATATGACACGCAGTTTTCGCGTGTATATGATATGCACTTTATGGCGTGTAATAGAGGCGTTAATAGACGCCCCCCCCCCCCCAACCACCACTAATCCTACCCAAGGTGGGGTTACAGTGCGTTGACACGTAACAACTCTTTTTTGCGTATAAATTGCACTAAAATTGCGTATAAATTGTCTGGTCTGGTGTGTTGATATGTTCCGTGCGCAGATGAGGGCAGATGAGGGCAGATTATGGCAGATGTGCGCAGATGAGGGCAGATGTGCGCAGATGAGCGCAGATGAGGGCAGATGAGGGCAGATGAGCGCAGATGAGGGCAGATGAGCGCAGATGAGGGCAGATGAGGGCAGATGTGCGCAGATGAGGGCAGATGTGCGCAGATGAGCGCAGATGAGCGCAGATGAGGGCAGATGAGGGCAGATGCAGAAGCTCTCAGGCCATTAGCACGTGCAGAAGAGCATCAAAGCCCCTGTAACGAGCAGATGATGGAGATCGAGTCTGAATGGAGAAGTTCACACCCGAGACACTGGCGCCATGAAGTCTGTCCTGATCGGATCCCGCAGAACTGGTGAGTGTGTGAGCTCAACATCAGTGTTAATAAAGTCAACACACCTCAAACACACTCAGCGGGGAGTCACGTGTTGCGCAGCTGGCGCTCTTTAAAGAGACAAACACAGGCGACGCGGTTCTCCTGTTCTCCGTAATTACGCTACTTTGCATTTTATCGTTTTATTTTGTTCAAAGATTGTAGCCAGTGTCTTTATCTAATGCAAAACATGGTGATTTTCGCTCACTAATTATTTTCTGTTCATTTATTTTTATTTATTACATAATAAACACAATTAGTTTAGCTGTTAATTATTGATTTTATTTTATGATTTTCATCAGCTCAGATTATAAGGTGAGAAAAAATCAAATGGTATTTTTATTCTGTACCTTATATTTATATATTCACAGGAAAAACAACTTGTTCACTAATTATTTCTCTCAATTTATTTTTATTTATTTATTTAAGTTTTAAGTTTCGTTTCTTACATAATAAACACAATGACATTAGCTTTTAATTATTTATTTGATTTGATTTGCATTTTGCCATCTAATTGCTAAACACCATATTGACAAATATATGATGTAGTTTGTGTTTTCAAAGTGTTGGGAATAGCCATTTATAAAAAATAAAAATAACCCTAACCCTACACACACACACACACACACATATATATATATATATATATATATATTATGTGTATATACATATATTTTTACGTCATAATTTTTCATCTTATTATTGACTAATTTCGACTTTTAATCTCATAAATAATACTGTCATAATTTAGATTTTCTTGTGATTTGTATGACTATTTTTTACACACACACACACACACACACACACACACACACACACACACACACACACACACACACACACACACACACACACACACACACACACACACACACACACACACACACACACACACACACACACACACACACACACTCTGTGTGTGTGTGTGTGTGTGTGTGTATATATATATATATATTTTTTTTTTCTCTCCAGGCAGAAGTTTGTAACCCTACATTTGAGGACTTCGAGACTGGTTTGGTTTGTCTGGAAAAAAGCTCAACTTATAAGGTGAGAAAACTCAAGTGGTATTTTTACCTTATATTTATATATTGACAGCAAACATCTCGTTCTGTGACAGTTCCACATCTGTTTATATCCTCAGAGCTCTTTAGAAGCAGGAGCACGAGAACCCTGAGATCAGAGAACCACAGGGAGGCAGTGTCTCCTTCTGTGTGAACATCAGCTGTACTCCTGTGTGTGGGCCTTAAACTACACTACACACTAATACTACACACTAATACTACACTACACACTAATACTACACTACACACTAATACTACACTACACACTAATACTACACTACACACTAATACTACACACTACACTACACTACACTACACACTAATACTACACACTACACTACACTACACTACACTACACACTAATACTACACACTAATACTACACTACACACTAATACTACACACTACACTACACTACACTACACACTAATACTACACACTACATTACACTACACTACACACTAATACTACACACTAATACTACACTACACACTAATACTACACACTACACTACACTACACTACACTACACACTAATACTACACACTAATACTACACTACACACTAATACTACACACTACACTACACTACACTACACTACACTACACTACACTACACACTAATACTACATACACTACACTACACTACACACTAATACTACACACTACACTACACTACACTACACACTACACTACACACTAATACTACACACTACACTACACACTACACACTACACTACACTACACTACACTACACTACACACTACACTACACTACACTACACACTAATACTACACACTACACTACACTACACTACACTACACTACACTACACTACACTACACTACACACTAATACTACATACACTACACTACACTACACACTAATACTACACACTACACTACACTACACTACACACTACACTACACACTAATACTACACACTACACTACACACTACACACTACACTACACTACACTACACTACACTACACACTACACTACACTACACTACACTACACACTAATACTACATACACTACACTACACTACACACTAATACTACACACTACACTACACTACACTACACACTACACTACACACTAATACTACACACTACACTACACACTACACACTACACTACACTACACTACACTACACTACACTACACACTACACACTACACTACACTACACTACACTACACTACACTACACACTAATACTACACACTACACTACACTACACTACACTACACACTACACTACACTACACTACACTAGACTACACACTACACTACACTACACTACACTACACACTACACTACACTACACTACACTACACACTACACTACACTACACTACACTAGACTACACACTACCCTACACTACACTACACTAGACTACACACTACCCTACACACTACACTACACTACACACTACACTACACTACACTACACTACACTACACACTACACTACACTACACTACACTACACTACACTACACTAGACGACACACCACCCTACACTACACTACACTACACTACACTACACTACACTACCCTACACTACACTACACTACACACTACACTACACTACACTACACTACACACTACACTACACTACACTACACTACACACTACACTACACTACACTACACACTACACTACACTACACTACACTACACACTACACTACACTACACACTACACTACACTACACTACACTACACTACACTACACTACACTAGACTACACACTACCCTACACTACACTACACTACCCTACACTACACTACACTACACTACACTACACACTACACTACCCTACACTACACTACACTACACTACACTACCCTACACTACACTACACTACACTACACACTACACTACCCTACACTACACTACACTACACTACACTACACACTACACTACACTACACTACACTACACTACACACTACACTACACTACACTAGACGACACACCACCCTACACTACACACTACACTACACTACACTACACTACACTACACTACACACTACACTACACTACACTAGACGACACACCACCCTACACTACACTACACTACACTACACTACACTACACTACACTACACACTACACTACACTACACTACACTACACTACACACTACACTACACTACACTAGACGACACACCACCCTACACTACACTACACTACACTACACTACACTACACTACACTACACTACACACTACACTACACTACACTAGACGACACACCACCCTACACTACACACTACACTACACTACACTACACTACACTCTACACTACACACTACACTACACACTACACTACACTACACACTACACTACCCTACACTACACTACACTACACTACACTACACTACACACTACCCTACACTACACACTACACTACCCTACACTACACTACACTACACTACACTACACTACACTACACTACCCTACACTACACTACACTACACTACACTACACTACACTACCCTACACTACACTACCCTACACTACACTACACTACACTACACTA